GATATTAAAATATCCCCTATTACTACAACAACTCAGGAATCTTACTGATCCTCATTCAGATCAACATCTACATCTCGTTGGTACGTAACTGATAATTTTAAAGTATATAAGCTAAATAAAAAATAAACTATTCATATGTTATGTTTTAAATATTTTAGAAGCACTTAAGGGAATGGAAAATGTCGCTGAACATATCAATGAAATGCAAAGGATACACGAAGAATATGGAGCGATCTTTGATCACTTATTTAGACAACATCAGAAATCTTGTAAACAAGTAAGTTATTAAATTATAAGATATTATTAATATTTAGTTTAACAACTGTTTTTGTTTTTTATTTTTCAGTCCATAGACTTATCACCTGGTGATTTATTATATTACGGAGGAGTTGAATGGTTAAATATATCAGATTTCCTTGGTAAAATAAAAAAAGGTCTAGAACTGCATGCTATGTGTTTTGTATTCAAATCAGCAGTAGTATTTTTATGTAAGGAACGTCTGAGGCAAAAAAAGAAACTAATAGTGAGTTTGAAACTATTCAATATCTATTAAAAAACATTAAACATTATTTGATTTTGTTTTAATATTTTTAGAGTGTATCGGGCAAAAGTGAAATGGAAATAATAAGATATCAAGTTTTGATACCAGTCACTGAAGTACAAGTTAGAGCAAGTTCAGCTAAAGACATGGAAACGCATTTCTTATGGGAGCTGATACATTTACGTAGTCAGTCGCATAGAAGAGCAGAAAAGATTTATGTTCTCTCAAATAGGTACATTAATATTTCAATAATTATTCCAATTTAAAAAATCATTACTGCTATTTTCAAATAAGTATTATTAACAATTAAATACATTCTGCTAGTACTGCTGAATTCAGAAATGCATTTTTGAAAACTATACGCCAGATTATTCGTGAAAGCGTACGAAATATGAGTATTCCTACTGCTAAACCTCCAACTAATTCCCCAGCTCAATTAGTAAGCAATACTGCAACATTAGGAAGACAGACTATTAATCCAGGAGGTAATAATTATTATGTTTCAAATTTTTAATAATATACTATAATGTTGAATATAAATCAAAGGTTCACAAATAAAATCAGAAGATCAAAAAACTCAAGATAATACAAACTTAGCACAAGGATCACAGACACTTGGCAAACCAAAAAAAATACCACCTAAACCACCTCAAAGACATTCTTCGGGAAGTTCTATGACTAAGGTCGAACTAAGAAACCAAGGAACATCTTCTACTGACTCTACGGATACAGCAGGGACACAAACTGTTTTGCCAAATTATAGATCAAGGAATAAAGGTAATGGTATCAAACACGATAACTTCTTCTAAACATATTGTTTTGTTTATTAAAAAAAAAAAACAATCAATGAATACAGAATTATAATATAGTGAATACATAAATAATGTATTTACTTTGTTGTTTTATCAATTTGATCTTTTTATAGAAGAAAAGAAAATTGATGAACAAAAGTCGGAGGGTGAAGATGATAGCGGAAGTCAACCTGTACCATCTAAAATACTTCCAATACGAGGTAGTCTTGGAAAGACTCCCAACTACTTAATGCTTAGTACCACATCTACCTTATCAGCTAGTAGTACTGGCAGCCAAGCAGCCAGACTAGTGGAAAGGTCACAGCAACCTGAAAATTACCAACCGCCTCAGGTGCAGGACCTTGGTAAGACGGATCTGCACCAGGATTACTAAAAATCACGCAACCCACTGAGAATAGGTTAGACCCGTTATAATGTTAGCCAAGGCTAAGGGTCAAACTTGGTAGAGTGAACTCGTGAAAGTAACATAATGAGAGAAAATGGCATTATAGTTCACTCCACCAGGTAAACACGTTCTTAAATGTTTAAAAATGAGATAATGTTAACGCCTTATTTTTTTAAGGGCTGCATGGAGTATATATGTTAGGTGTAACAAATTTAATAGGCTTATTCGCTGAGAGATATTTACTGTGGACATTATAGTATTTGTATTTATATTAATTACTCCGCAGGTTCTCCGGTGTGGAAGCCCAGAGAATTGGGAGAATCGTCAACATTGCCACGGAAAAAAAAAACAAATCAGGAGCAGTTTGAAACAAGGACAATGGTGAGAAAAGGAGATAAAAAGGATAAAAAATGAATAATAACGTGGGACAATCACCTAAAAAATTTATATGCATAAAATATTAATGAGGAACGTGATAGAAGTCCTTTTTAAAGTCTAATTTGGATATCTATGATGTCCTGATCGCCAATGGTATGGAAAGGATCTGCAGGCCGGGGGTCGAAGAAATTATGTTTATGATCAATTTAGATTATTTCTTAAATTCTCATTGCCTTATTGGTACGTTCCTACTTTATTTATTACTACATAACATTAGAATCTATTTCAGTATTGTTTCGTGTAAATAATAATTAAAACGAAACTGAAACGTTTTGTCGCAATTAAAAAATTTAATAAAATACTGGATTTGGGATGTTTATTATTGTTGATTAATTAAACTACAAACGATAATATAATAAAACGACCATGATAAATTATTTTTCTTTTAACCACCTTTACTAATATATTGTTATTAGACACCGTACATTTTGGATACGCATTGTGAAATTTATCTACGTTACGTTGACTTATATAATATATAAATATATACATTCAAAATGTATATATATTATAATATTATTTAGAACATGTCTGTTTTAATGATTATGCACCAAATTAAGGTTATACTATACAAATCAAAACAATTAAAAGCTCAAAGCTCAATTTCATTTAAATTATTTTCTTCTTTCAAATTTCAATAGATTTTATTATGAATTGTTAAAATTTCTCCATTTGATCTCATTAGTAATATTTGAACTTAATAAAAACAATTAGACTCCTTAACTACTGCAGAATACACAACCATGAATCGTTTACTTTGCTCGAGCACATACATATTGGACAAGGAAATAATGATTATTTGTATGCTGGATTATAACATGTACTTCGGACATTTTGAGAATTTAATTATATTACAAACGTGTGAACGACAATAACATTATTTATTGTACACCGACAGCGAACTGCAGTGAAATTAAATTAAGATAAACCAATAGTTATTATACATTAAGTATATTGAGGAAATGGTCTATAGAAAAGCGGTTTCAATTATTTTCGAAGAATGTAATTTCAACATTTATTTTAGATTAAAGTTATTCCCTAAAAGAGAAATTTAGCCACGTCTTTTTCGTTTATGTTCGGAATTACCTAATGAAATCATATTGAAACAATTGTTGAAAATAATGTAACGCATTTTGATAAATGGTATTATTATATAAGTAGTATCATGATAGTTATTCTAGCTCTTTTGGAAAAATTAAAATTGATTACCGTAAATTATGTCACTTGTGAGCCATACAATGAGGCACAATCATAAAAATATGTTTAAAAAAAATTAACAATTATATAAATACTTACGTTCTAAGTAATATTAGGTTATCTTATAATCATTATTAAATTATGGAATAATGTCGTGCTCATGTAGGTACCTTAGACGTTCTAGAATAAGTTTTTAAATTAAAAAAAACCACCCGATTATGTTTTCAATTTAGTACAATCGTTATCATTATATTATTATTATTATTATTATTATTATTATTATTATTATTATATGAATTATAATCGAACATTTTTATTTCATTATAATGTTTAACTCAAATTAAAAAAAAAAAAAAATACAATATATATTATGTACATAATATATAACATTATATATATTATATGTTTAAATTAGGCCCACCGCACAATATAAAAAATATATTATTATTATTATTATTATTATCTAATTTTATTTATATTATTTTAGTTCTTCTGTCAATCATAAAAAAAAAAAAAAAATGTTGAGAAATTATTGTTGTGTTATTGTATTTGTAAATAAAATATAAATGAAAAACAATTATATTTTTTCTTTGAAATACCATGTATACGTACGCATACTCGTATACCTACTTAATGTGTCATCGTGATCAGTAGCTAGCGGATTTTCAATATTTTTCGGAAATGATCCTGAAAAATCATATTTATTTAAAAGGCATCTATCGATAGAAGTCTCGTTTTTAGACAATATTTTATTGAAATTATATCGGTGTCCGGTGAGGGCGGCCCAGACCCCCGAACACCCATTCATCGTAAATCAGCCACTGATTGTGATGCGATATTAATTTTTCGTATAGGTATACTATTCATCACGCCACTGCCAATAATGGACCTGCTCTTGTATTTAACGGAAATTCGGAAAATAGGTCGGATATAATATTATATTACTGGCTGTATTACCCGGCTTCGCCCATGAACAATCTTGTAACGCAAAATATTATTAAATATTATTTAATACTATTTTATAATTCGCTCAGTTTTTTTTTTTGTTTGATCCACGTTGCCAACCTTTAAATTTGTTTTTATTTCGTCCGTGTTACTATGATAATCCATAACAATAAATAAATAGTACCTTTATATACTTTTATGTGCGTATATTCCGATTGTTTTAAAAATGAACAACTCGATTCTTAATACGTATTGGCGATGAATTATTATTATTAATTAATCCACTTAAACATTTTTTTTAAATCCATTCTTATTGCACATTTAGATTACTAGAGGAACGTCTATTCCAAATTTCAAGTTCGTAGGTCGTATAGTTTTTGAGACACAGCGATCAGTGAGTGAGTGGTATTTGGCTTTTATATATTATGTGTATGTAGAGTACCTACTGGGTAATTCGATGTATATCTTTACGCACCGAAAACCATTGCTAACGAAAATCGTTTCTAAACAGATTATTATTTGTCGTTCACAAATTTACCACGATTTATTTACAAGGAATACGAAAATAAATAACTTCATCGATACACCGACTTGATGAAAAATATTACAAAAAACGTTCCAATGACGTTTTTGATTTGTAGAGCAAGATTTCTGAAAAGTTGTTTACAGACACAAAAAAAAAATAAAAAAACCATTGATCGTCGAGTTACTTTATTTGTAAATAAAATAAAAATGAAAAACGTATGAAATAGGTATTATTCGTATATTACTGTTACTATACCGTTGTGATGCGATATTAATTAATTTTCGTTTTTGATAAACACTGTTACATTGTCGTGCCCGGCACAATGGAAAAATAATAATAACAATAATATTATTGTGTTTCGCGCGTGTAATGCCGGTGCCGATCAAACGATATAATTGACCGCGGGCGCGTACGGCGAATGATGGTAGACGGCCGCGGTGGCGGCGGGTGGTTGGTGGTAGGCCACGTGGTGTGACACGTACGGCACGGGCAACGACAGCGGGTCGGCGTAGTACACGTGCCGGAAAACGGGCTCGGTCTGTTGGATCACGTACGGCTGTTTGACGACCGTCACGTCCGGTGACGCCAAATGGACTTTAGGCAGAATCACCGGCGTCACGATGTTGTGCGAGGGAGCACCGCGCGCGGCCACGGCCATCGCGACCACGAAGATCATCTGAAACATCACGCGAACCCGTGAATTAATAATAAACCAGCGGCGCGCACTGAGTGGTGGTTAGGGGGTCAAAACCCCCTCCGAAAACGTCTTCCTACGCTACATAATATCTTAACACCACGGAATAAAATAAAATTTAATTTCAACAAAAATCAATAATTCAGTAATAATAGTGATAGTACTGTAGGTACATATAATGTGTGCCATCTCCTAGCCCTCTGGGAAATTATCATAAACAAAACGCCTCCCGGGAAAAAATCCCGTGTGCGCTACTGTAATAAACGAAACGTGCACTACCAATATTAGTGAAACAACTCTAGTATGTACTTGGTCGATTTGATTGAAAATCAATGGGACCGATCCTGACTAATCGTTTAGTGAAAACCGCAATGGAAAATTCGCAAACGTATGAGAAAATATAGGAGTGCATACAGACGTGGACAAATTCGGCCAATGTCGTTTTGCGCGCAAAAATACACTCTACGGAAATGGTGATACGGTACAGTGGAATCAACCAGATTAAATTTTTTTTTTTTTTTTTCTCATTAATAGAGCGAAACATTTTACAGACCGCACTGAACTCCGTTTTTCAATATTTTATTCTCAACATTTTTATTATAATGAGTACGTATATAAAAGAAAATAAATTTTAAGTTATTTTTCCCATTTAGAAATTAAAAAAACGGAATTCAATGCGACCGGTAGAATGTTGTTTGTTATATATAAAAAAAAAAATATCCATACAAATATTGAACTGACAATGATTCATCACTATTTCCGTAGTCATTTTCGTCAGTAAAAACGGTCCCGCCTCTAAATGAGTATCGAATAGTAAATCAGTTGTATCTATCTACCTATCTTTAAGGTAATTTTTTGAATTGTTAAAAATAATTTTAAAATTTTTCAAAATTGGAGAAAATTGGAGAAAATTTGAAAAACCGGCACAGGGCCCCTCAACACTATTATGTCACGGCATTTTTTCAAGGGAGTTTTCTATGTTTAAATTGGACTGCGCACATAGTAAAGTCCGTTGGACATCCAACAAAGCTAAGATTTTGCTTACTGTGTGTGCACTAGAAAATAAAATACGATAAATGATTGAATTGGTATACAATCGGTAGATTCTGTAACAAAATATTGTATTATTATTACTGGTTATCCCACCCGGCGTTACCGGTGTCAATTTTATAATTTTTTTTTATGCATATTCGTTTTTGGTTTTAACGATAACAATATTGAATGAAAACAAATAGGTGTAAAGTGAATATTCCACCTTCGGCGGACCAAAAGTGTTCTGTTCTAACTTTTCTGGTAATTTTCCAACAATTTATTATCCTTTTTTTAAATTTATTTATCATAAATTTACTGCTGTTATGGAAACATGTGAAATCTGAACATCAGTTATCGAATTATTTTTATTGATTTACGGGTTACCTTGGTGATACGAATGAAATTTAAAAAAAATGTATTGAGGTTTTCATACAAAAAACTATCCAAATTTACGTTTTTTCCGGTAGATTTTCCAAAAATGTTTTTTTCATAAAAACGTTGTGCTAACAATAATTAAGAACACAACAAAAAGACGGAAATACTTCACACGATGGATGGGCCACTGTTGTAGGAGAGAAGTTAAGAAGGTATAGAGGAAATTTAATGTATATTTGTATTAAACCATTGCTAACGAAAAACGATTCTGAGCGGAGTTCAGTTAATAGTGTTGCTTTCAAACGTTGATATAATGATATTAAAATTCTTATAAAAAAAAATTCTACATTACACTCAATGGTCTTTATGTTAATTTGTTTAGCATTTATGAGTACCTACCGAACAAAAATTATGTAAAAAAAACCTGTAAAATTTAAATGCCTACAAATAGCTCAAAAATGTTTTGATAATTTGACTACGTATATAAAAGGCAAATATAACGTTTTTGTTTACATTTCAAGTCTCTAAGAACATTTTAAACTGAATTACAACCAAACAAAAAAACAAAATTTAAATTATAAAAGCATTATTTTCGTATTACCTAAGTTTTTTCCTGATTTTACCCATTTTTTATGAAAACCCCTAGGAAAATAACCTTTTCAAAGTACAATGCAAGGAAACTTCCTCTTTAAAAAAGGTGCTACGCTTGATACGCTTGATGAGCCAGATTTCTGGTAGAATTTTTGTACACAGTATAAAAAAATACAAATAAAATAAATAAACATCATTGTAAAAACAATACATTCCGCGATCTAAAAAATGGGTCTATCCGTTTTCAAGTTATGACGTCAGCGACAAAATATCGATTCATTTTTATGTATACATATAGAAAAAATAATCACTAGATAGTAGAGAAAAGTGTTACTGGAATAAGTCCAAAAGTCAAGAGGGAGGTAGTGTCTGTTTTTTCGTAAGGCTTTTTAAAAAATTTCCTGCAGTATATGAAATCAACTGTTCGTACAGAGCATAGACTATAGATATAGGTAGATACCAACTATTATACCATGTGGTCTTCAATGCTGGTAAATAATAATTATTTATATTATTAAAATTATTATTTTTATATAGGTTAGATGGAAATCCTTCTCTGTGCTAATACGTAATTACCATAACTTGTCTTTTTAATAAAGTAAAAACTATTATTTTGTGATTTTTTTTTTAGCAACACAAAATAACCCTATTGATGAACCAATAAGAAAGACATTGAAGTTCACAAATGTGAAGAAACAACCATAAGTCGAAAGGCGGATAGTAAATAATCAACGAGTATGATGCCAAATCCAAAATTATCCGGAATGAACCAGTAAGGCGTTCATGACGATAATATTATATTATTGAGACTTTGTTTAGCAATAATACTAAAACTTTTTTTCACAATTTGAAAAATATTAAAAAATGTACAAATTATAATTATCGATTAAAATTTTACTTTGTTTATTTTAAGAAATTAAAACGAACGGAAAATTAAATCAACGTTCAATTGTAGCAAAAATACCATTAAATTCGATAAGTAATCGAAAAAATGTACAAATACCTAATATTCTATTGTACATTTTATTAAACATGAAAACTTTATTTATTACTTACCAAATTAAAATAAAGGGAATAAAACTTGAATACTAAACAGTCGCATTAAATAAATCGTTGCAGGCAGTTATAATTATAGTTCCCCCTATTCAAGGATAATTTACAATGATAATTTTAATAATTCCGCATGTATAATAATATTTTCAATAATAATTTTCTGCTATAAAAACAATATTTTATATTATTTTCATTAGTGGAAAACTCAACAATAACAAAGAAAAAACCGAAAAAAAAGACTAAAATTATCGAAACACTGGGAGATTTACATAGGCAAATAATCAACAATTCGAACAGGAGGAAATGTTTGTAAGTATAAAAATCAACAGAAATACAGAGCAAATTGCAAGAAAAATTAAAAAAATTATGTCTTAACAACTCAACACAAACTGCAAAAATTATAATATATTGATTGAATTAGAGGAACTTATAATAAAAGCTATTGGTTTCCGTTTTAAATTCGATAACAACTATAATAATAAATAAATGATCTATTAATTACTATAATAACATGTGTAAACACTAGGTCAAAACTCAAAAGTACACCGCCCTTACCCCCTCGTACCACGAAAAACCCCCAGAACCTTAATATATATTATTAAACCATCTACTTATATTGAATTAGGGTCAATAGTAAATATTTAATATTATTAAAACTTTATGTTATAATCAACCCATGTATTAAAACTGTTAGTAGTAGTAGTACCTTATCTAATATAAATTATATACAAATATGTACTTACCAAAAATTGCATTTCGACAAAAAATTTGTAATAATTAAATTAAAAATGTATTGGATATAGGTAAGTTATGATATTTCGGATTGGTATTCGGCAATACTACGATTGATACTATAGTTGTTTTTAACCAATGGTTTTATATATATACTAAGACAGATATATATATATGCATAATTTTGAAAATTCCCTCCAACTCAAATTGGTACAGAACAACGATAAAATTGCCCGCCCATTTCGCAGCGGAGATCCTTGTCAATGACCTCTATCAATAGCAGCTTTTTTTTTTTTTTGTTATACCCTACCTAGATACTCATTTGTCTACCGTAATACATTAATGCGATATATTTAATTTTGAAAATAATTTCCATTTATATTGTTTCATTTGTAATTACAAATGAAAAAGAAAAACGAAGTCAATTTTACATTTCAATAGATAGGTAGTGGGTACCTATGCTATTTTAATTAAAATGTTTAATAGATATTTTATCGGATTTATAATTCACCAGGACAAAACAATACGAATTATGTTGACTGTCGATTAACCGTTGACTTGGTACTTTTAAAACATTTCACAATGTTCGTATTGAAAGTATATTAACCCTAGATGGTTATATTATTTTACATGTTAGATTCCAATCGATAGTAAAATTTAGATACCGTGTATGATAGCTGACGAATGTTGATGTATGGATATATGGTGCATTCGTGCATATATTATTACACCTTTGATTATAACTATGACTATAACTATAGTCGTCTCCCGAAATGTAGAGGGCAATAATTTTGGGGGTCTAGGTTGAATCACCGCCAGATATTTTTCAGCGACATTTTTTTAATGCCGATACATTTATTATTTCATCATTGGTTTCAAATCAATTGTCATACATCAATCATCAACACACAACAATAGTTACCTATAATTTACTAGAAAATATAACCAGTAAGACTATATCCATATCTTCTTTATTCGTACATCACAATATTTTTTTTTTTGAATTCAGAATATAGCGAGGAATGTGTTGATTTTACAATGATGTTTATATTTTATTTATTCTTTTTTTTTTACTATACCTAACTTTTCTACCAGAATTCTTGCTCCAATTTTAAATTGTAGGTGCCTTCTTTAAAAGGAAATTTTATTTGAGTAGTACTTTCAACAGGTCATTTTTTTTATTTCCCAAGCAGTTTTCATAATAATTGGAAAAAACTTGGAAAAAGAGGAAAATATACATATATAAAAGAAACTCCGCTACGAATCGTTTTTCATTAGCAATGATTTATGATTACGTACAGATAAAAATTAAATTCTCCTGTATATTGGGATTATCAAAAAAGTTATAAACCGTATAAGACTAGTTCGAGATGGTATGTAGTGTATCCCCTCAAGTTGACTGTCCTGGTTTTTAATATTCAATAAATAACAACCCTATTTAAAATGGACGTATTTAGAAAAATTTCTTCATTTTTTTTTTTTTTTTTAATTGGAGCAAGATTTCTAGTAGAAAAACATACAAGTAATTTATACTCGTATATCAGTCATATAATCGTTATAATCATACTCGTAATTTGTAAAAATGTACATTTATCAGTTTTGATTTTTGTCTTTTTCCAGTTTTTCTCAATTATTATGAAAACTGTTCAGAAAATCAAAAAATAACTGACTTACAAGTTAACTAGATCAAAACTACAACAAAAAATGTCTCTTGGCATTTGAAGTTCAATTATACGTGTTTTAAACGACTTTCGTAAAACGTTTATAAAAAAAAATAAAAAATACTACATTTAACTTAACACACATAATACACTTAATAGTTACATCGGAATAAGTTTTCTGTTCGAAAAGTTGTTTACAAACAAAAAATAAACAAAAAAAACAGTAAAACCAATATTTATACTTTATTTGAAAACCATTTTTATTTTTTAACCCCTACTTCATAAACCTTAAATAAGTATGCATATCAATTTTTTTAGAAAAATATTTTCTATTTGAATCTGTGTTCAAAAAGGGGGTTCGTACTTAAAAAATAAGAGTACCTACCTTATATACTTATTTAGAGAAGGTAGGTATATGAAATAGGATTAAGAAATGAAAATGGTTTTTAAGAAAAAGCTTAAACGGTTTCACAGTGATTAAAAAATATAAAAATCAAATTCACTTAAAATTCTCAAAGAAAATTGATGGTTCATCATAAAAAAATCACCATGTATATAAATAATATGTTAAATGTAGATTGTAGGGTATTCATTTTATACTGACATAGTAACTAATTTTCATTATTATATATTTGGTACACATTATAAACTATTTAGACCCCCCCCCCCCCCTTAGACAAATCTTTGCTGATGTTTATGATTAAACTATGTATAGAAAATGCTAATGTAAAAATTTGGATGAAAATTTCAAGTTATTTCATTTATTTTTGAATTGCAACAAAATAAAATATTAAGACGTAACACAAATAATCGATGTCCCAAAAAAACCAAATTATTAAATTAGTTTTCCTACAAGAATCATAGAAATTGAAGTTATAAATCAAATCATTTTTTCTAATATAAATCGTGTATCTACTTAGATATACATATTATTTTCACGATCGCCAATTCTCTGCTACAGTAATCTGTACCTACCTAGGTAATATACCAGCGCCTGACGCATGAATATTCATTTAGCACTCGTCTCCAGTGGCGGATCTAAAGAATATCTAGAGGGCCTGCTGACACACAGTTAATTTTTTGCTAGTAAAATTGGCCTCTTTTGGCTTGTAATTGTTCTCGCTTTGCTCCGTCTCAAATATAAACACGTATACAGTTACAAATTGTAACATATTTTGTATGCCTATTTGAAAACCATTAGAAAGTTTAAATCATGTTTTATAATAATTGTGGTGATACATCACTCTACTTAATGTTATTATAGTGTCACTTAAAATTTAGATTTTGAAAGCATATACCGTATACGATAAGTCCGTCTTCGCAACAATACTGTTTGTGCGTTTATATTTTCCGATTTTTATTTACATATTTTTGTCAACGTATATATATTTTTTCTTGGAGTTATCCGAATGCGTCCTAAAATTACCCTTTTTCGATGTTCCGAGTGCGTCCGGAAAAAGGTATCACTAAATTTCCAATAAAAAAAAAAAGAGGAATTTTCGCAACGTAGTCGGAATGCGTTCAAGCTCACGAAGAGTTACCCATAATGCACCACGAGGAGGTAAACTATCTTATACCTCAAAATATACAAATATACTGATAAAAGTGATCTACAGTATATATATAAAAAAAAATTACCATTGTAAGAAAGTTGATACGACCACTGTTGTAGATGGGTAGTGGGAATGGTGGGATACATAGAGTTATTCCATTTATATCTGTAAGTAACGATAAATCATTGCTTGACGAAAGACGATTCTGAGCGCAGTTCGGTAATACATAATTTGAAGGGTCGTAATTTTTTTTGCGATTTTCATTTAAATTTGATTTCCAAAAGATTTAAAAAAAGTCTTCGATGATTTTGGAAATTTGACCTTGTCTAGGTAAGTCCAATAGAATTATTATTACCAAGTTTCAAGTCTCTACATGTATTAATAACCGAATTACAGCAAAAATCTCCTCGAAGTTAAAATTCCATAAAAGCTTAAAAGTAGCCCAAAAGTTTTGACGATAATACTGTAAGAAAGTAAATTATAAAGGCAACAAAAAATGTACCTTGTGATTTTTCAATTACATTTTTTCTGATAGAAAACATCGTCTGTTTCTACAAAATAATGAAATCGTGAAATTATAAGTTTTCCTACAGCTTTTCCCACCTGCTTAAATGCTTTTATTTAAAAAATAGGGTCAAAAATCAAAAAATGACCTCTTTAAAGTAAAATCTAGACAACTTGAGTTTCCAGAAAAGTTGTTACCCGTAAATATCGGAATAAGTTTACTAGGAAAAAACGTGTCCACAAACAAAGAACAAAGAAGAAATGAGAAAAAAATATAAACAGCAATGTAAAATCAATAACTCTTACTCTACACTCGGAATCTAAAATATGCAAATCCTTCAACTTCTGAGACCTTACTAGTAATAATTATAGTTATCAAATTATATTTAGCATTCTATAAAGTAATTTTGTACTTATTTATTATTTATGAAATTTACACATAATTAAATACCATACACTACTATACAGTTATATAATAGATACATAAACAGTAAATATGATCTATATATATTTGTTTTATAGGTACATAATATTAACTAGATAGTCAAATCTGATTTCATAAATTATTTTAATGTATCAATATGCAAATTAGTCTTGTTTAATAACTGATAGCTGAAAGCAATCAAAATACGCAATCTGGGCCACAGATATAAAATATGAATATTAAATAATAGTATTTTATATCTGTGATCTGGGTTTACATCATAATCATCATATATCGTGGCTTACACAACATTTTAAACCAATCTAATCAATAAACCTAATTTTAATCTACTATAACCATATAATATAATATGACATGCCTATTTCATTTTGAACTGTTTACATGATAACAAACTCAACCACATTGTTTAATTCTAAAGTCTGTGTTTTATACTTATTAATACATTAAGTTCTTTTATATAAATAATAACATCTAATACTACAATATAATATATATGTAAATACATATATGTATACAACAAAAGTACAATTATTTACAAATATTTTGGAAAATGGAGAACACAATATATTGGTCAACAGATTATTGAAAATTGTAATTAAATTTTACAATATTAAAACTTTGATTAATTTAAGTATAATTTTCTAATGGTTTGAATTGTTTACAGAAATTTTTTATCTACTAAGTTTCAGAGGATGATTCGTAGTTAGGTATTCTGCTGAGCGGCAATTACATGCTCATTCATAATCATTTGATACTCTTGGAACCTCTGTGTCATTCTTTCAGAAGCTTTAAGAAATTTATTGGTGCAATTTTGAGCACACCTTTCCTAAAACATAAAATTATTATCATCAACACATACATAAGAAAAAACTACTATAATAATAGATAAATAAAAAAGAAGCTGTTAATGGGGACGGGTGTGGCCACTGTTGTAGTTGGGTAGTTGGAAAGGTAGTATAAGATTCAAAGATTTGTAATGTCGAAATAATACCTTTGCCCACCACAAAAAGTCAAGAGGCAAGTGCTCCTTCTTGCCAACCCGCTATTATCTCACTGCTCGATGGCATCCAACCACCTCTTATTCAGTCTTCATATTCCCCTCTTTCCTCCTTCTTTAATTTGCATTAAAATTATTACTGTTTTTGAGGAACAGGAATAGTTTTTTTTACTATCAGTCACACCTCTTATGTACTCAATAACTTTTCTTGTCACTCCACTCATCCACCTAATTATTTTAATTATATTGTTCTATTTGTCTGTCTACTACCCAAAACTCCAAACAATACAACATATTCAGTCTCATTACACTTTTGTAGAATTTATCTTCAAGTCTCATTAAAATTTTCTTGTCATATACAACACCTGACACTTACCTTAAGTATAGACTTCATCTAATAACACTTTATCATATTGTTTACATATTCATCAAAGTCACCGTTCTTTAGTATAAAAGACTTTAGGTGCATAAAACACTCATCCTCACTAGGCTACATCAACACTTATTTTTGTTAGCTGTCTTATCCTGTTTCTCCATAAGCATGCCTACTCTATATACTCTGTAATTCTACTTATCCTAAGTCATTTTAATTTATGTGCCATTCTTCATATTTCTTATGATAGATAGAAGTACTATAGAAGTATTTCAATCTCATCCCACACGAATGATATTGTCAACTATAAGATGAATTCCTCCATACTACAGAAACAATACATATACCTATTGTAAACACCTGGGTTTCCGCCAGTAGCTGGAGCTCGGGACTCCTGGTTTGCTAAACCTGCCATTACGTGTTTATATGTCCCTCCTCCTGAGATTAAATTAATGTATATTGTATATATATATGTACCTTCATTATTAAAAAAATTACATACTTCATCACTTTTAAGATCTTTTATTGTAAAATCAGTGGCGCAATCCATAAAACAAAGTTCTGTTAATTTATTGTAAGACTTGAATATTTCCTTTACCTAAAAATGATTATAATAATTGAATATGCAATAATAGGATAAGTATATTATGTTTAAACAGTAAAAACAAATATTAAATACAATTAGTTTAAAATAAACTGAATATTAGTAATCTATTTAATATTGTTACTATTTTTGATAAGGTAAGTTAATATTAGGTTGTATAAATTGTATTAAAAAAAAAATCTATATTTTATATAAGATTAAGTAAGGTATAGAAATAATTAAGATAGATACTTGGTTGAAGTACGACCATTATTTAATTTATTTTTTCAATTGTTTTCAAGGATTTCACAGGCTGTATTTATACAGCCATCCATTACTTATTATCATTCATTTTTAAAAAGACGCCCTAGAATAATGGGGACGGGTGTAGCCACAGTTATGGGTAATTTAATACCTGTATACCTGTAAGCAACGATAAACCATTGCCTATGAAAAAACGATTCTGAGCGGAATTCAGTTGATAGTAATGCTTTGTCAACAATATATATATACCATATTATAGTAAAATAATTAAATAGGATCTATATATTTTCTTTAATAATATTTGTTTAATGTTGTACCAATTTCTCAGTTTTCCTATGAATTTCCCAATTTTTCACATTTGATGAGAAAACTCCAGAGAAAATCAAAAAACGACCTCTTTAAAGTACCTCTCCAGTGAAATTTCCTTTCAGAAATATTGCTATCACTAAAAGTTGAAGTAAAATTGCTAGTAGAAAAGTTGTCCGCAGGAAAAAAAATCGTAAATTAAATTTATTATATTTCGTAAATTTTCCCGTTTTTTTTTTTTTTCGGTTTTCCGCATTTGATGAAAATAACTCTTGTAAAACTCAAAAAATGAATCCGAGCAGTCTTCTAGTAGAAAAGTTGCGTACATAAAAAAAAAATAATAATAATAAACACATCTAACTATAAGCTTCTTCGCTCCATCCAGAATCTAAAACAGGAAAATCGGTACAACACTAAACAAATGCTATTAAAGAAAATGTTTAATGCATATTTAATTATTTGACCATAATATGACATAATATATATATATAAATATATTGTTGACAAAGCAACACTATCGACCGAACTCTGCTCAGAATCGTTTTTACGTTAGCAATGGTTTATCGTTGCGTAAATGATACATAAAATTTCCAAATATATCCTATATCTTTCAAACTTCCTACCTACAAAAATGGCTACACCTGTCCCCATTATCTTTTGGACAACTTTTTTTAATTGCATATCATACTTGTAGTTAAAAATATATACCTACCTAATAGGTAGGTACATTATTATATTATTTTCAAAAAAAACTGTTGCAGTATAGTACAACATCTAATAGTTTTGCACAACATGGCATTGCAATCTGTATCTGGTACAAAATACAATGATTTTCATATAATACCATCACGGTCGTTATCAAATCGTATAAAATATAATATAAAAGTAAATATTATGTACACACAGTCACATAGGTAGTTGTACGCGTATCATTATAAGTTGGGACTAAAATTGCTGATAAAAAAGTTATCCACAGAATAAAAAAACCGTAATATTTTGGTAATGTATTTCGTACATATTCGCATTTGATGAAAAAACTCTTGATGACCTCTCAAAGGTACTTCCCCACACCGAATTCCTTTCAGAAAAGTTGCTACAAGTAAAAATCGGAGCAAGTCTTCTGATAAAAATGTTGTCTACAGAAAAAAAAAAAATAAACATCTCTGTAAAACCATAAATTCTTCGCTCCACTCAGAATCTAAAAACTGTCTACCCATGCATTTGCTTAAATTAATCAATAATGAAATTAATTGAGCTGATTAAATTAATGGCGTCTAATGTGCATATGCAGTGTAAAAACATAATATTATTGGTATAGGTATGTTCAAATTTACAAGAAAGCAATGAGACGGTCGGGTTTAAAATTTAACTAACGGGTATCTAATTATCTAATTACTTATTTAAAATAAATAAATATAAATACATGAATTCATAACAATTAAGTTTGTTATAAAACTTACACTGGCCAGTTGAGAGGCATCAAATTCCATATTATCAGTAGGTACATTTGCGTTCTCCATGTCTGCACAAAGGGTATGTCGGGTCAATTTTTTGGTAAAACGTAGACACGTAGAAACGCAAGAAAACCCAACTTGAAATAAAAACCACAACAGTGATTACTGTTACTAAAATATAAACATTTGAAATATAAACAATTTTTCGAACTAATAATTTATGTCTTTATCAGTATTTATTTGCACAGGTTATGTGATAATCTCTTATCCATATCTGTTGCGTATCGTGGTTTGCGCATAAAAGTACTTTTATTATCTGGGTTTGCGTCACTGAACTATGTACTGACCATTACATATTGAGTAGCCCTATTGATTATAGACAACCAGTCGCGTTACAGTCGAGTCACTAATCACGTAAAACAAAAGGTGGATTATTATTAATCCACCTTACGTGAAATTCAGTGGTTTGCGTAATTGGGACCATGGTTACCGTATTGTTTTAATTTTTCTTGCACGATTTCGGGAAAAAGTGACTCCATCCCGGTGATAAGCGGCCCATTGCAATTACAAATATTGTAGTTTTTTACCGTCGGCAATAGTGATACGGTACATATTTCTTATTGGTAACCGACCGTATACCAAACATAGACCTGATAATATATGGTCATAGGTGTACTAATAGACGAGCATTTCGTACGCGTAGAACGGTCACAGATAGAAGGCGCTTTTCACGTGCGACTTGTGATTTTTGTGGTGTTATTGTAATATTGTACATCACATTGAAATATACGATAACACTAATGTGATTATACTGCACACTAGTGACGGGCGATCGAACATGTCATATGAAATTATTATTACGGGCGATAACGAATAATTTTTACTATCGAATAACTTATTCGTATGTGTCATTCGTATTTTCGTGGATTATTCGAATAATTTATTCTGTACTCGGAAAAATAGTATTATCTGTCAATTTATTTCGAATTGTTTAAAAATAGTATGTGTTCGTATTTCTTGAACCACGGTCGTTTCACTCGCCATGTCTTATCGCTTATTAAATATTATTTTCCATCAAAACAGGGAATTATAAAAATAAACGTTGATTACTGTCGAATAGCGATGGGCGATAACGAATAATTTGTACTATTGAATAATATCCGGTTATTTATATGAACTATCGAATTAATAATAATTATTCGAAAGGAAAACTATCGAACAATTCAATAGTTATTATTCGTTACCGCCCATCGCTACTACACACCGCTCTAGTAGAGTAGTATGTCTGAATTCTGACCGGTTATTACCTCAGCTACTTTATAGACAAGGCCAATCTATAAGTACAAAGTCTATGGTTGTAGAAGAACCAAAGAACCATAGACATATTAATTTATATCGTCTATAGTTCTATATTAATTATTAATATGGATATGAGAAGACTTGGCATCATGATCATCCCATTAAAAAACTTAAACAAAAATTAGCGTTTCTTGTTTCTACTATCTTGTAATTATTGAATTCAAACAAATACAAACCCGTTGGGGACATTGTCACTCGCACCTTTCTTATACTAGTTTTTAAGATGTAGTACAATTATGGAAAATAATGAAACCGTTAATGCCATAAATTTTTTTCTAAGTTATTAAGAAAACTACAAGGAAAATCAAAAAATAGCCTACTTAATACATTAACAAGATCTAAAATGAATCCAAAAAGATCTTTTGCCATTGATTGAAGCAAGATTTCCGGTAGAAAAGGAAAAAAGATATTTACTCAAAAAATTAAAAATCAAAAAAATAAACACACATTACAGTAAAACCAATACATTTCTCGTACCATTTAGAATCTCAAAGAACCTATGGGGTTAATTTTTGACATTTTTAATCTTTTGAGATACTGCGTGAAAAAAATTGAGCCGTTTTACTATCTGAAAAAGTGTCTTATGAGGAAAAAAAAACAGATCATAGTAAAACAAATAGCTACATCACACAGAATGTAAAATTACAAATGAAGAATAAATTTGTATTCATGATAGTAAATATTAGCATTATTACTATTATTATATTTGTTTTACTTAAAGTATTTAACTACAATAATAACATCTTATTAAAATGAATATTCATAAAGATCAATAAAATATTTGATATTATAATAAAACAATTAAATCATATAGTATTTAATTAGTTGACATCATAAAAGTTTTAAGAATCAATTTGAATAACGTAAAATATTGTATTATTGGAATGGAAAATAACATTTATATATATATATATAAATACATAGAGAATGCCCTAAAAAGATTTACCACTTAAAATATGGGGAATAGTGCTTACTCTATTACTCCACCACTTTAGATTAGAAAATTCTCATATGACATCTCATATATACTTGAATATTTTTTTTACACGTACAAACTTAATTTATATATTGACGCTCATCTACCAATTATTATCCCATTTGTTATTCCAATCATCTTGAATTGGTTGGTATTTTTCAGTTGTTTGATCTGAAGATGATGCATGAGTACTGTTTACATCCCATGATGTCCAGCTGTTTTTCCGTTGTACATTTCTAATAAAAAAAAATAAACCATAAATCAAAAATTAAAACAGGTTAGGAAAGTGTTACAAAAAATAAAGATACTTTCTCAATAAAACTAAACTATTGTTATATAAATAGAAATTATAAGAATTTTCGCTATGAAATACTTATCTAAGTATACTATCAGTTTAAGTGTAATTGATTGATTTTTTTTTATGTGTATATGTTTTGTAATATTTTTGCATTCAACAATTTTACTGGAATAATATTATAATCAGAAATCAAACGTTGTTAACATGTCAGATTTGTTTCTATAAATAAATGAAGTTTATGACAAAGAATGCAAACGAGCTCTCGTTTTTGAATGAAATAAATGGTTGTGTACTTTTTGTATTGAAAGAGAAGTCATTGAAGATGACGATATCCTACCATGTCTTTAATAAATAAAAATTTGTTGACAAAATTAACAGTGTAATTTAGAAAGATTGTTGATCAGTTATTCATTATTATTACAGAGGTATTAATTAAATTTAGAGAATGTGTTGAAAATGAAACAACCAGATCTCAGGAAAAATGGTTGAGTTCTTTCACCAAGACACAGTTCCAGCTCATAGCGTAATTTCAATTCATTACTTTTTAATTGAAAAAAAAAATTATATATTGCAACACCCCCCTAATCGTCAGACATTGCTTCTTGTGACTGTTACAGTTTTACCAATTCCTAAATTTAAAAATTCATTGAAAGGAACCCATTATCAAACGGTTAATGACATAAAAATGAAAACAGCAGAACTTCTAAAAGGTCTGATTGAAAGTGATTGACAGAACTATTTTCAAATTCTGAATAAAACTACTTTTAAGGCAATAAACATTAAATTGTACAATTTTGAAAATAAAAACATTAAGAAAGTCTTGTTATTTTTGTATCACATCTCGTATTATGCTTATGTAACAAAATCTAAATAAATTAAATATCTTAATTTGTAAATATGTGATATGTCATTTTAAAAATTCTTTAAGTACTACTTATATCTTTAAAATTTATTCTATTCATTTATATGTAATACTTATGTCATTACTGATATTTAAATAAATAATGATATTTTCTAATAACAATAGTGTCACAAATAATATATATTTCCTTGTTAACCAAATTAATAACCGTAACTATATTATTGTATTAGTCATAATTTATATCCCTACATTAGATAATTAATGTTTAATATCAGCTGAAAAATTAATTGATCACTATGCATTAACGAGTGGTTAACTCAATTTTAAATAATTATTTATGTATGCATTTATTTTAATGCGTATAAGAATTATATAAATTGTTCAAACAATTATTAAACAATTTCTAACTCTAGAAAGTTATTTAACAAGTCAAATAAATACATTTTTTTAAATTTATAAAAAAAAAGTTAAAAATGTAAGCCTCTTGAAATATCAAAAGTTAATAACATTATTATGTCATTAAACACAAAAGCATAAATAATACTGTATTATATTTAAAATTATATAAACAATAGTTTTTTATTAAACCAATATTAGACATTTTACAATATAATGACAAATAATAAGACATACTTTTGATTTCCAGATGAGCCATCAGAAATTAATGAAGAATTTTCAGTGGAATGTGCTACAAAGTTAGTTGAATGTGATTTTGGTGGAGTGGCAATATTACTGCCGGTAATATTTTGCCACTCTTTACGGCTTAAATCACTTACCTAAATTATAGTAAAATAAAATATTATTATTATGTTTATAAAAGCACACAAATTTAAATGATTTGAAGTTACCTACTTTTCATAGGTTATAATTTAAATTTAAAAAAATTTACCTTTGTAGACATAGTAGAAAATTGATTGGATACGCCATCAATTAAAGTACCTTCTTTTATCTGACCAAAAAATAAATAAGCATAACATAAATCATAAAACTGAAATGAACTACATGCTATAAATAATACAAAACAAAATTAAAATAAACACTAACACTAAACAAATAACTATTTTTTTTTTTTTATATTAGGATAGATTTATTATTATTTATATAAGTATACATTAATCTAATTCATAATATATTACTTATAATCAGTACTGCAATATATCTAGATACATTTTAAATAACAATTTATTGTTGATATGTATTATTTTCTGATTTCATTATTATTATGTATGAGTGTATGACTATTGTATATTGACAAATGGTTAATACCCATTATTTATTTTATATTTATATTTATAACAATAATTAACATATGGCACCTAACATTGAATGCGAGTAAGATCTGAGTACTGATCAGGGAAAAAGTAATCACCTTTTACACAAATGGGGTTTCTTAGAAACAGCTGCATGCAAGTGAGAGGAGGAACAAACATAGTGTCAGAGTGCCCTCTAACCAAATTTGAAGGAGCACCAGAAGATATTCACAGCTGCAATATCAAAGCAATAGATTGGATGCGCAAGCTAACTGTACACCTATAGCCTCTTCCAATAGCAACTCACTTTTGTTTACTTTCCTGTTAATATATTTTATTAATTACCTCATGAATTATTATTATTATTATTACTATTTACAGTTTATCACTGTTTTCCACAAATATTTGAAACATTTATCTAAAGTAAAATTTTTTTATGCTTAATGTTATTGTATTACTTATTAATTTAACCAAAGCCATATGCAATAAAAATTAACCAATATTTGAATATTGTTATATATTATGTATTATAAGTTATAACTGACAATGATTGTATAATAACTTATAACTTTATAAGAATAAAATTATACTTGAAAACTGACATAAAATGAAGATAAAAATTATTGTTATAATTCTATATTTTTAAATAAAATATTTTATGAAAAAAATTATCTCTTTTCCTAAATGTATCTAAACAATTTTAAATAAAATATATCTTTATCTGTAACTTGATACTAATTTAAAGTATCTTTTTACAGCACTGCCTATAATATCTATAGTTTTTTGTAATATAATAGCTGTTTCATGCCAAACACATGTGTAATAAAAACGTTTTACCCTAGATTTTCTATTTTAATCCCTATCAAAACACTGTAGTTAATCATTATTACCCATAAATATTTAAAAATAGTTTTTCTTTAATTTGCATTTCAAACTTATATAAATTAATTATATGGTTATAAAGCAATGAAAATTACCTATAAATTACTATTTTGTAAACTTAAACTACTATAGGTTAGATCTATTACTTCTATTGAGCAGATCAGAAATTTCAATAGTTAAGAACAATGCAGATTATTTTGCGAAAAAACCTCGTAAAATTGGTCTATATTTTGATTGTGCGTTTGTGAATGATTGTTTCTAGATAAGCAGATCTTCTTGTCATTATTGGTGGAACGATTAAGATTTGATTTCCTTTTCATTATGTGATAAATAAAAAAATAACCAAGAAAAGAAAAAAAGAGCGCGGCTGATTACAGCAACAAACAAAAATTGTAATACATCAAAAACGTAATTCATTGTAGAAAACTGTATAATAATGACATAGATAATGAAGATAGTACATTTAGGAAATTATAATTGAAAAGAAACCATAGATACCAACTCAGTAAAGCACATAGTTTTTTTTTCCATTTTATCCATGTTACTAAGGTTTTTTGGTATACAATTTATACGTTCATTTGAATTATTTATTAACTTTATCGGACTAAATTTATGCCTAAAACCTGCTCTGTGATGTCCGCTTTAATTTAAAAAAAACTGCATGACGATTGAATAAGTAGTTTTGAAGCCAACCTATAACAAAGATTTCCATTATCGCTTTTATATATATATATATAGATTATGTAATAGATTTTAACTAATATGAGAACTCCCTAATAAAACTTAAATCTAGTTTAACATGTTAACTGCTAATGTCTTTCTGCAGTTCTCACTGTAGTGCAGAGATTGGTAATAATCGGATAATTTAGTTAATTATCAAAATTATCAATATTTAACTATTAATTTAAAGCAAAAAAGAAAATGTATAAGAGTTAAAGTACGTAGGTAATACTGTGTATAGAATCAAAAAAATGTATTTATTGTTAGAAAAAATTAACATATAAACAAGTATAAATGTATAACAAAATGGTTTTAATTTAATTTTAAAAATAATTTTAAATTTTGTTATAAATTAATAATTTTGCTATTTTTAGAACCCTACCCTAGTACATACTTTTTAATCTATACCATTTTGAATATGCTAATTAATAATAAAATACCATTCAGCTACGCATGGGGAATACTAAACTATTTACATTAAATTCATATTTGACATTAAATGGCATCAAACATGTTGCTGAAAGGTCATTATAATACCAATTGGTGTAAGTATACAGTTATCATGTGAAACCTTAGTCATCCTTGTAATAATTACTACCTTATTATTAATTAATTTATTATTCTGATTTATTTATGACAAAACAAATAAAAATAATGTTTTCAAAATAGTGTAAACATATTTTTAATCTATATTTCAAGGTGGGAAAAGATCGCCATGATATCTCATATATTTATCATATAAGGTGAAAAATTAGACTGTATTGGGTCGACAAGTAAAACAGTCTATAATCTATATAGAGTATGAGTTTGAAAAAAATGGGCAAGTAATAACAATAAACAGTGACATTTAAGAGATTTTAGTAGCCAAGATTTTTGGTATAAAAAATAGCGACTTTGAAAGAGACATGATACATGATTAAGAGTGGTTGAATTAAATAGAGTAAAGCGTCAGATAATTATATAAGAAGTAACATAAGCATAGTTTCAATAATAGAAAAAATGAGGAAAATAGACTGAGATGATTTGAGCATGTTATAAGGAGCGAGGAATCACAAGTAGTAAGAATAATAATGAAAATAAACTTAGGAGAAAAGAAGGGAAGAGAGAGAACAAAAAAAGGGGTAGTCGGAAGCAATTGAGAATGATATCCAGTGTTTGTGAGTATGATATAAAAGAACAGGTCAAGTGGAAGTTTATAATAATGATGGCCACCACAAATAGTTGGGATAAAAGCAGAGTAAAAGATATTTTTAACCTATTAAATAAAATGAATTGTTATTATTTTTAAAAACTTTATAATACCAATGTAAATTAATACAGTTGGAAAATACAGTAGTTTATTAAGTTTACTTTTTAAAAAGTGGTAATTCTTGAGAAAATATAATCTAAATAGAATTAATAAATAGCTATTTATAAACTACTGAACAATTGAAAATTATTATTTAAAAATTGTAATATACTAGTAATTGTACTCAATGATATATTTTTTGAGCATTTATTTGTCAATTTAAACTAAAGGAAATATATTTAAATAATTAAAATTAAAATAGGTTCAATAAATCTCAAATTCTACTCAATAATTATTTATAAAAAATACTATCTAATAAAAATCATTATTTACAATGCTTGAAAATATGATAATATTAAAAATTAAAATTAAAATTTAGCAATATAATAAATGCATGCAACTTACCTTTGAACTTATGTCAGTAGTTAAATCAGATACCTTTTGAGTGGCTAGTCCACCAATTTTAATGGCACTTTGTGTTGCTTGAGATGCTAATTTTGATGCAGAGTTGGAAAACAATGACCAGCCCTACAAATATTTTATTGAAATATTAAATATAAATATATATAATTATTGTATATAATATATGAAATGTCAAAAAATTATATCCACATAGTATCTACCAAATAAAAACCATATAAAAAAACTCGTAAACATGGAATGCCTATAAATAGTTAAAAAATTGCCAAAATATTCTGAAAATGTTACCACATTTAGAATTATAGATTTGATAATAAATTATAGGATTATAAGATTTCTATAAACATTTTAAACTAAGTTACAACAAAAAACAAAATTGAAAATAATAAAACCATTATAATTGTAAACTTTCCTGCTATTTCTAAGTTTTATTTTTTTTTGGTTTTGCTCAATTTTTTACAAGGAAAATCAAAAACTGACTTTCCTATGTACTGGATTAAAAGTAAAACAAAAAAGATCTCTTATTGTATTTCTGTGGAATCAATATTTCTCATAGAAAACATAGTGCATACAAATTAAAAGTAATAAAATCAATAACTTCACAGTTCCCGCTAAATATTTGACGTTTTAAACAGATTTGTGTACTAGGTAATTAAACATAAATTGTGATGTTTTACAAGTCATGCCAGAAGGTGTTTTATAGTCAAGTATGGCGATTATTTATACTTGCCGAGCCACTTGTCGTTTCCCATTGGTTTTTGATGAATGTATCAAAGGAATTATAAATAATTACGTTTTTATAATACCATAAACGTGAAATTTACCACATGACTCATCCTTGACTGTTTTGAGTATTGGCAATGACAAATAAACTATACATGATGATTGGTAAGTGCACAAATCATATAGGAGCGATATAATTGTCAGGTTACAATACTCAGTGAACATACATGAGTACGATGTTCACTAAGTATATGAGTCATGTGGAATTGGCTTTCCCTATATTTTTATTTTCGATTTTTCCTGATTATATTTAAATTTTTTGTAAAGTAAAAAAATGACTCTTAAATGTACCAACTAGAACAAAAAAAACAACAAAAAAGTTTTTGGATTTTTTTTTTTATTGGAGGAAGTTTGCTGTTCAAAGTTATTTACAGACAGGAAAAAACCACACATCATAGTAAAACCAAAAGATCCTTTGGTCTAATCCGAATTTAAAATTTGTTTTATTATTTTAGCTTTTTAGATATATTTAATTACTTACACTAGAAAATGATGACACTGCAGAGTCAAGAAGATCTTGAGATTGACTTCTGGATGGCTGTTCGACTGTGTTACCAAAACCAGCATAACGTCCACCTTGGTTTGGAGGCACATTTCTATACAACAAAAATAATGAAACATTTAGAAGTTAATTTTTATAAACAAATTTATATTAAGACTTACGTAAAATCAATTGATTGTACAAAGGCGTAATAAGAACTAAGCAGTCATAGTTAGTTTTCATTTTATAATATTCACATACAACCTATGAGTTTATAAATTTCATAAATAAAATGTTTTAGATAAAATCAAATTTGATAAAGTTTTTGTAAATATTTTGAAGCTATCCACAGTGCTTGAATTGAAAAATAGTTCATATTATGAATTAAGGAACACAAAAATATAATAGAAACTCTGCAGAGCTCTTAAAAACTGAATAACTTTAATATGATTTTTGCAAATTAAAATAAATATACTTAAATTTCTATCTTGAAAACCAGAAAATGTATGTACATGTACAAAAGAAATTCTATAAAAAAAAAGTAGAGCTATGTTTTTTTATAAGGGTTTAACATTTAAAATTTGACAAAAATTTTCAAATATAGTTACTTGAACTTCACCCAGAATCGTATTTTGACAGCTATTATGGTTGAGTACAAATATAAATTAAACAACATTATATATCTAACCTTCCCAATATCCTATATATTATAATAGTGATACACCCATCAGCAGTATCAGCTTTTATCTAAGAATGTAAAAAAAATGTCTAATATAAATTATATAATAATTTTAGTTTTAAATATTTAGTATTTAAAAATTATAAAACAATAAACATAATGTATAAACAGTGAAACTTTAAAAAACTAGTTTGATGGCTAAGTTCTGATTACACCGCCATACTCCATCAGCATATAAAATTACATTTATTTTTTAAACAATTATTATAATGTTATTTTATTTTTATTTCTTGCTATAATTTACTTACTCGGGTCTTGTCATGTTCTCATATTGTTTTCTAGCAAAAAATGCTTCTTTCTCATCTTTGATATTTGGACTAATAACATCATTTTGATAACCAGAGTTGGTTTCATTATAGGTAGTAGATGGCTCGTTAAAATTGTATCTCTGAGATTGACTACTTGTCCTAATAGAAATTAACAATTTAAGTTTCTAGATATAAAAATTTATAATTAAGTAAGCTTAAATTACATTTTTATATGATCTACACTGTAATCTTTAGCTGATGATGTAGTAGGACTCCATTGTTCTCCCTTGGCCAAATTTAAAATCTGTAGATAGATAAATAGGTAAAATTAATGAAATATTTAATCCTCAAATAAATGAATCAATCAAGTAAGCAATTTCACAAACTTTATCTCGATATAAGGCTGCTGCTTTAGTGTTATACTTTTGTTCAATAGTCATTGAATCATTCCAGTCTGGTTGAGATTTAAAAAATTCCACAGCATTTCTATTTCCTCCAACCTGAAAATTAAATGTAATGGTATTTAAGAAAACATTTAGTTACCTATATTAATAATAGAAGAAGTCATTTTTTTATTTTATTTTTAAATTTTAAAAACATACTCTCATTTTTTCTAATTCTAAATCCTTCCAGGAATCCATAGTAATAGACCGGACGAATGACAGATGGACTCCAAGACCTCTGTGTTTTCCTGAACACATTAAACAAATCCATATGCCATATGATACAGAAGCCCATTGTGGATTATGGGAGCCACATTCAAAACATTTCTAAAAATAATATAATTGAAATTTATTTGTTTGAAAATAGTTTTAGCATCTACTTACTGAATTGTCCTGTTGAGTCATGAGCTCCTGAAGAATTTTAGGAGTTTTGTTAGTTAAATGTTTCATACTTACAGTAAATAATAAAATTGGGTACTCAATTTATAAATCTAATAACACTTTATGGTATCACGAACACAATTTAAAAAAATTGCATAGTAACGATTATCTCTAGGGGTAGGATACCATAATATAATTTAACTATAGTATTTTTACAACGAAAATTAAATGACTACAGGTAATTATTAATTTATTCTACACGTTCTAAGGTAAATATATTTAAAAAAAAAAATTGTTTAACAATTACTAAGTATTACATAATACAATTTACAATTTACATATTCCATCCACAGAACCACAATTTATTCGTGACTCATGAAGTTGGCTCCTGATATGACGTCGACGTGTCGCCTTTATTCGATAACGCTGTTATTATCTTGGGTCGTGGTTCTGTGTTATCAGCAGACTGTTATGGCGGAAAACAGGTGTTTTGTGTTTATATATCGCAATCTGTATATATTTACGATATGATTCATGTTTAATATTCTCATCCGTTCTATTTATTTTCTACCGCAAAAAAATTCAAGCTCCAATGCTCAATAGATTGGTGACTAACGGCCTTCTCCACCTGCTCGCAGTAAAAGTAGCGTTAAGACCGAAAGAAGTACCTACTTAATACACAGTGCTTTAAAAGTAGTAATAGTAGTTGTAGTAGTATTAATAGTAGTACTATTATTAATTGTTATTATTGTGTAGTAATTAATAGTAATAGGTTAGACCACGTACTACAACACTTAGTCGTTCGTGATGCTCGATTAACGTTAATATAACATAACTACATATATGTAGGTATATAATAATATATATTATGCACATTTCGTATTCCCGCAGTTCTCGAAATCATTGACAAAATGAGGTAACTGATACAGTGTTTCCTACACAATTTCTGTTGTATTCAACACCCACCTATCTAATTACATTACCAGTCATAATCATGGATCCTAAGATACAACCTTCTAGCAAGTATTTTCCAGGTAATTCTTATTGTCAAGTACAATATTTATTTTTTATAAATAAGTATATACTTATATCTTAACTATTACTTTGTAAAAATTATGAATTAGAGAAAAAAGATAATAATTAAATACTGTAAATAATAGGTACTATTTTATAAATTGACTTATTGTTCAAAGATTTCAATTGGTTTTCCTTTTATTTCATGTTATTGGTCAGAAAAAGTACTTATGCATATTTAGTTCTGGTATAATTTATTGAGTTTATTTCAAATTCTAACCTTGCCAATGAAAAAAATTATAAATACCTTTATTTTTTTGTATTTATTATTTTTACAAAAAATCTATAAACCAACTGTTATTTATAATTTATAAATGTATAGGTAGTAATAGAAATATTGAGTTGGCAGGTAACAAAACCAAAAAAGGTAATTGGCGATAAATGTGTATGATTTTTCTGCTATATAAATTATATCTAAGTGGGTGTTTTCTACTTTCCAACTCGTATTACATAATCATACGAGTATATTTGAAATGTATAAATGGTCTGTATGGTTTTGCTATCATTTATTTATTTGTTTTTAACCCATTTTGAAATTTGTATTAAGATCTTTCAATTATATGTTCCAGAACTTAAAAGTTGCCCTTAATTTTGGTTTAAACATCTAATATTATCTAAATTGGTATTTTTTCACTATGTACATTAGTTTTAAAATACTTCTGTATTGATGAAATATATTTTTTTTAAATTGTTTAACCCACCATCATTAAAGTTTTTGAATTTTTGGATACATCTGCTGTAAAATTACTTAGACATATAAATATTGTCTAACAAGTTTGAAAGTGCTGTATAGTGTACTAATGGTTTTAAATTTGTAAATATTCTGTTTCTGTAAATGTTTTATAACCTATACAAATATTAGATGAACATTTTGTATAAGTAGTTTACTTTAATTAATATTTTGGTTTTATTATACCACATTATTCTTTATTCCATATTTTTTTTAAATAAAAATTATAGGTTATAATTTAAAACCCAAAAGTTAATGTTTAGATACATAAAAAATAGAGGTGTATTTTGAATATTGTATAAGTATACATAATACATAATTTAAATTAAGCAACATTTAATTAATAACATAGGGAATCGCTGGTTCAAATTAATGAAAATTATTAATTATTTATAAATATTTACACAATTTTGTTTAAAATAATGACATAGGTAAGTCATGTGTGATTTAGATTACTAAATACCATTTTATTAAATGCAAATGAAAATTATATCATTTAAAAACTTGTAACAATAATAACTATATGACTTTGCTCAAAACCCAAAATGATAAATAAATGCCAAAATGATTCTATCTTGAACAGGTGCTCTGAAAAAAAATGTTATATTAATAATGCCATTTATGTTATTGAAAATACTATTATAGTGATTAAGTAATGACATTTTAAACAGTTTTTACTGTATTATTTTTGAAATACAAATATTAACTGAGTTAATAAATGAACATGATATGTTTAATATAACAATTTTATGTTTAAATAAATCAACATAGTAACATTTATTTATGGGCCATGTTTTTTTATTATTTAGTAAATATATTAAACCAACAATGTATGTATTTCCTAGTTATTATTATTTCAGTTGCTATGACTGATAATGAAGAGCCATATCCTAGTCTTTCTGATTATCATGATTATGAGCCAAACTTAGAATTTGATGATACCGAACTACAAAGTCCAACAGCAGATATTGGTAAATTGTATATATAATAACAGTATTACCTTGATTATTAAATCATAAATAATTTGTGTTATTTTCTTTAAGATATGGAGAAAAGTTTAGCCAATGTAAATGGAACTGGAGGAACATTAGATTACATGGAATCTCCAGTTTCTGATGGTACTATTGAAGAAAATTTTGAAGAGGAACTAGTAAATGCTCCTCAGGTTGTTGAAGGAATAACATCTGTGAATGATAAGGAAACAGGCAATTTATTAGATGATTTGGAAGCGGATGATGTAAGTGTAATAATTATTAGATCAACTATTTTACATTACATAGTTTTTAATAATCTCTTTTTTTTTTTTAGTCTAAAGAAGAAGAAGACTTTAGTGATGTGGCTAAATATGGGGTAGTTGATGTTGTTGGTGATGATGCAGTTGGCCGTAAAATCATTGTAGTGTCAGCTTGCAAATTACCTAGCAATAAAGAAGTTGACCATCCAAGACTTCTAAGGTTTATATTTTTGTTTAAAATACATTTAATAAAAAATGTTTGTAATACAAATACACATTTTGTGTTATTAATAATATTTCATTAATAAATAATATAAATTTTTCCTTCTTCAACTAATTAATTTTTGTTTATCAATAATAGGTACTTAATGTACACTCTGGACAAATTTGTGGAACAAGACTACAGCTTGGTCTATTTTCATTATGGGTTAACAAGCAAAAATAAACCAACATTGTCATGGCTGTGGCAAGCATATCGTGCATTTGATAGAAAGTACAAAAAAAATTTAAAGGCTCTGTATTTAGTACACCCAACTGGTTTTATTAAAGTGGTTTGGCAACTCTTCAGAGCTGTTATTAGGTAACTTAGATTGAAGATTGAATATGTATATAAAATTCTATATAAATATTTTGTTCAACCATGTTATAGTGCAAAATTTGGAAGAAAAATTATGTATGTTAATCATTTACAAGAATTGAAACAACACTTAGACTTAGACCAATTGAATATTCCAATACCAGTTTTAGAGTAATAATGATTTTATTTTATTTTGATACATTCAAAATATTATTAATTTGTTGTATTATTTGAATTTCAGTCATGATGAATTACTTATGAAAAAAATAAATAAAGGAAAAGTATCTCAAGTAGACATTGAAACTGAACCAAAATCTGAACCATTACCAACTCAACAATTTGGTGTATCATTACAATTCATTAAAGCAAACAACGATGGAGAAATAATTCCTCCACTGGTACGAAAGTGTGTCGAGTACCTTAGTCTACCAGATGGTAATTTCAATATTTATTACCTAATGCTGTTAAGATATTGCAATTATATTTGTTTACATATGCAGCACTAGAAACTGAAGGACTGTTTAGAAGATCTGCTAACATTAACCATGTAAGAGATTTACAGAATCGTATTAACGTTGGTGAACCGGTTGATTTTGGTAATGATGTGCATCTTGCAGCAGTTTTATTAAAAACTTTTTTGCGAGAACTTGAAGAACCTTTAATGACATTTGATTTGTTTGATGAGATAACACAATTTCAAAGTAAGGCATTTAAATATTCAATATTATACCATAATTACGCCAATTTTTGAGTAATCATATTTCCCTGTTTTAAAAGAATTATTTATTTTTTCCTCTTTATATTCCATTATCCCAAAAAAAAGCCAAACTCTAAGTCAATTTGTTTAATGCTTACAAAAAAATTTTGATTTAATGAATATAATTAAATTTGTTTAGCACTTCCAAAAGATGAGCGTCCTAGACAAGTGAAAATTTTAATTTTGGAAAAACTGCCCCTTGATAATTACCATTTACTCAAATATCTTATACAATTTTTATCAAAAGTAAGTCATTTAAGTTTTATATTTAGTTAAAATTTAATTTATATAACTTTTTTTTATTAATGATGTACTATCAGCTCTTAGCTCACTAAACATACGTACTTCAACCCAGATGACATATCCACTCAATATTTGTACAATTGTCGCTATTCTATTGATTTTTCTATCTATCTACTGTTCAAAAATTCACTAGACTCAGGAGTTTTCCCTATTTTTTGAAAAATATCCAAAAGTGTTGCCTTCACTTCCTATTTATCAAAAGTAATAGAGCACGGAGGTCAGGTTGATGTCCTCTTTACAGATTTTAATAAAACATTCGACACAGTAGACCATGGTCTTCTAATAATGGTGCTTAAGTCTTTAGGAATTGATAATTCCCTTCTTTCTTGGTTATTCTCTTCACTAGCAGAAAACAATTTGTACAAATTAAAAATGTTGTTTCTCGGTTAATCGAAATACCTTCAGGTGTCCCTTAAAGAGGTCACCTTAGTCCTCTTCTATTTATTCTATTTGTTAACACGGTTACCAAATGGATCACAAAGGCTAATCTTTGCAGATGACATACAAATTTTCTTCAAAATCAATAATCTTAATCAATTTCTTGAACTTCAATCCAAACTTTTGGTCTTAGCCTTAATACAAATAAATGTCATATTATAACTTTTTCTAGACAACAATCTCCTATTCATCACAACTATTCTTTTAATGGCACCACTCTTGACAGTTTTTTTCAACATAAAAATCTTGGTATACATTATACTCCGTCTTTAAACTTTGAACATCACTTAAATGTAACCGTAGGTAAAGCATTAAAAGTCTTGGGTTTAAGCGCAACACCATTCATTTTTCTTCTGCTCGTTGCCTCCTGGTATTGTATTTCACATTAGTACGTTCAATATTAGAATATAGAGTGGTAGTATAGCATCCTTACTTGACTAAAGATGAATTAAGACTTGGGCGTGTCCAAAATAGGTTTCTTTCCTACACAGCCCATATCCTTAAAATAGTAGACCTATCACATAACTTCTCCTTAATTCGTAGTATATTGGAAATTCCACTACTTTCATCTCACCAAAAAAACATTGACATGCAATTTATTTCTTTACTCTTAAGAAGCACCACAGATTCTTCTGATCTAACAAATGTAAGTTTTCGTATCCATTTCTTCTTCTCCAGACATCACTCATTCTTCCTAGTACCAGTCCATAGTACATCATATGGTAATAACCACCACTTACATAGAATGCTTTGTAATTTAAATAACCTTAATTTTGATTTCAACCAAAAGTAATTAAATGTAAGACTAGTTGTAATGTTTTTATATTTAATTTAATTTTTTTTTTGTAGGGTGGTAATATATTACCATCTAATTTGTTTTTTGTTGTCTCTGCATTATTTCCATTGTTACTGTGTATTATTAGTATTATATTATAAATAACTGTTACTTGTAAACCAAACCCTAAATATAATCATAAAATGGCATTTATAAATAAATAAATAAAGTTGTATCTATATTGTGCCAAGCAAATAAATGCCATGGGGCTCTAGTATTCACCTATGTTTATTTGTTGAAAAAAATTAAAGTGTGTATTATATAACTTAAAATAATTGTATTTTATGTAATAAATACACTATGTACCTAATACTTAATAATATTATTGCTATAATATGAAATATAACGCTTGTTGTGATGCTTTTTTTTTAAATTGTAATATATAATTTCTATTATTATATTTTTTAGGTAATGGATAGATGTGACCTGAATAAAATGACTTCATCTAATCTAGCAGTTGTTTTTGGTCCAAATTTAGTGCGTAGTCCCAATAGTCAGTTATCATTAGCTGCGATTGGCCCAATCAATGCTTTTACTGATTTTGTACTTGTCAATCATGACCAAATATTCATCATATGATGACAGTAGAGAACTTGTAATGTACTCCGTATGTATTATTTTGTATTATGTATTATTTTTTCAACCTATGACACATGATGTTTTAATGTTAACATTCCAAAACCTTAATCATTAATTTGGTTTACATTACCACAAATATTATTAAAACTGATAATTTAGTAATTAATTTTTTTTTTATCTCACTGATGAGTATTTTCATTATTTATTTTTATTAGTTTAATTTTTTTTTTTTACTTTACTAAACTTACAAGTTTAATTAAAAGTGTACACACAAATTAATCAATATTTCAAGAATATAATGTGAAAATTGTATACCTTATGATGTATTCATAATAATTTAACATCAAATAATATTTTGTTAAAACTGAAAATTGCGCAACTTTATATGCTTCTAAACATATTTTATGATTAGAATAATTTTAAATATAAAGTGATTGCTATTATACTATTTTTATGTCCCTGTAGGAAATTTTGTCTATGGTTCGTGAATTATTCGTTTAGTTAAAAATAGAAATTCCTGTATTCTTAAGCAAAATTATTTGGTATAGATGGTTTGTGGTTTGTGCTATTTTATATGATTGTTTTCCAACATGAAATTTGTTTATTTACCATAATACATAAGCAATAATATAATTTGTTTGTTGATTATTAATAATTATATATTTAATTATCTAAGCATTGTATTTTTGTATTCTAATACATGACATCAAATTCAAACTTTTTAACTTATTTTTCTGATTTTCTGATTTTATTTTTATTTATTAAAAAAATAATTGTATAGAAAATTGAGTTGTCAATGAATAGCTAGTGTTCACATTATTAATTGAAGAATTCAATTAAAAGCATCACTGCACTAGGTAACGGGTACCTACATAATTTAATTTTTATTCAGATAATGTTTATGCATAACTTACTGATGTACTTTTATGCAATAACAATTTATTTTTTAATATATAATAGACTTATTTGTTATGAAACATACCTGCTTAAAGCTGTAGACAGCAATTTGAGCGATAGATAAAACAGGATGTCATACTATTATTTTTTTATTGATAAACTTCTACTTAGTGTTCTTGAAAAATCTAAGCAAATATATATTATTAATTATTGTACTTGTTTGTATGCAAATTGTAATCAGATCATGTATACATCATAATCTTTATATTTTTATATATCTCTATAGTTTGTGTATAGAATGAGAGAGCCTGTATTCTAATTTACAACTCTTTGTATAATATCTCGAGTAAGACCATTGTTTACGTTAAAATAAATTTATCAATCTTCCTACATATTATAAGTCACTTTGTCTATTGAAAATAGTTAACTATATTAATAATATAATTACATGAGTTTAAAATTTGTTTATTTAAATGTGCAAATCAGTAATTTTTACAATTATTAATATCATTTTTAAGACAGTTAATTTTGAACTGTATAAACAATCTCAAATTTTTAATGAAAAATATAAAAGCTAAGATGATTTCCTAAATTAGATTATTAATACGTAATTTGTAGAAGTTATTTTTATTGTATTTATTCTTTAACAAAGTATCTTGCTTATTGATTGCAATGAATACTTGTTGAATATGTTTGACTATATCATAATTATTACAAAATGTCAAATTGCTTTTAATTTAGAATTATAAAAAAAAAAACTCGTCTGGAAATCATATTTGTATACCAAAGATTTTATGTATTATTATTATTATAATTATATATATATATATATTTTTTTTTTTAAATTTTAAGTTTATGGAAAATAATTATTAATTATTATCGAATGTTACCTAATTTATGTACAGACAATTAATGCATCCATCTATTCTGGTCAAATAGTTTATAATTGAAATTTAGTGATATTTATATATTATTGTTTTAATTATTTTAATCCATTTCAGGAGTTTTTGTACACAATAAAGTATATCAATATTGTTGACGCATATGTTTGTTGTTTTTCATTTATAATTATTTTCTACTATAGAGTGGAATGGTTTTAATTATGCTGGATTAAATGCGTTTTGGTAAAAAAAACAACCTACAGGATTTTGTGCATTGTGTAAATACAAAATACAATATTAAAAGCATATACATTTATTAATATATCTTGTATTGACAGTTAAATAAAACATCCACTTATGTATAATTATCCATGTATATAATCATCCATTGAAACAAAAATGTAGTATAGAGTTTCACTGAGTGTATTTAAATTCATACATCAAAGTTTATTTTAATATTAACAAAGGCATAATACCTAATAAATATGTACATTAAAAACTATACAAAAATCAGGTTAAGATTTTTTTTTATATTGATTAATGATTATAAAGAAACATTGGCAGAGGCCAATTAAATCCATCATAAGGTAACTTTGATTTGATAAATGGTGAAATCCATGTTATATACCATTTTTCTCCAAAGACTGATTCTAAATTTTTTACTAATCCAAAATCGTAATTCTTTTCTTGTTTTTCACGGCACACCAGACCTTTGCATACTTTATTTAAATGAAAAATGAATAACAATGAAGAGTAAATTACACCTATAATACTAAATATCAGTAAAACAATACAAGTTTGGGCTGTATTTAAATAAAAAGTGATTATCTTCGGAATTGGCCAGAATAAAACTATTAAATCTGTCATTTGAATGGTTACCTCATTGTACATATAATAACTTATCAGGACAATCTCATAAAAACATGCTGCAGACATATATAGCAAAAACCATAAGAAATAACGCCTGTTATAGTGGCCCACGCATGTCATACTAAATGGACAGTGATGATCTCTGGTTAATATGCAAACGTTACATACATCACAGTGTGAGCATCTTGGGGGTATATCGCACAGGCAAATATCACAGAACCCAATATAATTTTCTAAAAAAAAAATGTATACATATACTATATTAAAAACCATTAAGATTATTACTTAAATTTGTATTTTATATACCTATACATGTGGATATAGGAAGTAATCGGTCAAATATCGATGAATCAGTGCATATAATGGCACAGAAATTTGATAGCATATTAAAAACAACAAACGTAAAAGGCAGTATATGCGTCACCAAACACCAAACCGATAATGGTTTAGGATACATGTACGGTAATATGTGGAATATGTTGAAGCGAAAATACATAGCTATCATCCCCAATAGAAACAGGAATAAGATCACGTCCAAAAAATGCTTTTTGCTGACGGTTTTTACAAATCGCCTGCCATTGTCCATGATGACGTGTTGTCATAATATCTCAGTAGTCAGTATTCTTTGTCTGTCGCCGTTGCTCGCTGGCTGTAGGACAGCCAATACTTGGCCGTTGAATGGTGATGCTGAACTCTTGGTCCTCGTGTATACTCCAATATTATGCCGTTATCAATTCCGTTTAAGACATACAAGTCCAATCGTCTCTTGATAAAATCGCACAATCAAAGGGTTACTATGGTAACGTATAAGTTCTTTATGTTTATCATTTGATCGCGGATCCTTCCACTGAAATTGGTTTATTATTAGCACACGTGCAACTCTTGTAATATTTTTCGCACGTATGGTGACAATTTAGATCTAGAAAAAAATATTGAAAAACGTTTCGTGTAACTTTTGAAATCTTTGGTCAGATTTTCTCCATTTTTACCAATTTTTTCGAAGGGATTTTTGGTACGTAATATAAAACCATCAAAATATCGAAAAATAAATCAATATGTAAAAATTAAAAGTCAGAGAATAGTAAAATCTGACCACGGATAATTCACTTATCCACAAAGGCATAAGAAAAAGCTATTTCACGTTTTTTGATTGACCGCTATTGTTAGATAACACATTGATTGACGACCATTATCGTTGGATGTCGTTCGATTTTCATTTGTACAGAATATTACAGAATGTTCAAGTTACTGCGACTCGTATTAATAATAATATCGGTAACATCTGCATCTACTACCTCAGCTAAACTAATAACATACCAAATTTACGCTAAGTAGGTTCGAAAACATCAAAAAATGAATTAAATACGTATAAAAAATTTTTAGATCTACTGTATGAAATATTATTCTAAAAAAATACTTAGCAATAATTGTTTTAACATGAAATGCTAGTAAATCTCCGTATATATTGAGCTAGGAATTTTGCTTAGTATACAATAAAAATAATTATTAATTTGTTGCGTTTATACTTAGTACAGATTGTGGTTTTGATTATTATAATGTGACACGTGTAAAATACATTTGTAACCAATAAATCATCAAAATAAAATAATACTAAAATAAATTATAAATATATTAATAGTATAAAAAATTTAAATAAGTACTTCAAAATGTATTTGTTTTTATTTTTAACTACATTGTATTTATCAGGTAAAATTACATAATATGAAAATCTGTATCGTATTTTAAGAAATAAAATATACGAGATGTTATGAATTAGGTATAGAAAATGAAAAATATAAACACTTTTTTCTCAAAAATGTACTCTAGTGATTTTGGCCTTTATGCTTATGAGGGCATAGATACATATTATATTATTTTTTTTACGATTGCAATGAAAGTAGGTGTGTACTATATGAAAAATAATATTGAACAGCTTGGAAAAAGAATCAATCTATTTGTTACACTTTTAATGTTCTGGCATATATTAAAAACAAATAATAGGTTAAAGTTAAAATATATTATATCACCTTTAATAAAAATTATACAAACAAAATTTGATCTGTATGGACTTTTTCTTGAGATAGTTGAAATAATGTTAGGGCTATTTTAAAAATCAATAACCTACAGTCTTGACCTATCACTATGTTCATGTATAATTGTATTATAAGGCCTACACTAGGTATGCTTAAAACATGAATATATAATATACAGGTGTCCCACGAAAATATAGGTACCCCCACCCGTAACTCACAGGGATAAGGACTATAATTATTTATATTTCATTTAATTTTTTGTTTTTGTAAAAAACTTAGAAAACTAACTTTTTATATTATTATTTTCATTAAATATGTCATTTTTAATAAAAACATTTAAGTTTCAAGAAAAAAAGTGTCAATTAATCATAATAATAATAATCAAATTAGCGAATGCATTTACAGTCTGCTGCATAATTATAGATACTTTTCATTAAATTAAATTTTTTTTTAAAAAAAATCACTAATTTAATGAAATAAAAAATTGCACAGTCAAAATTTTCAGAAGAACAAAACAATAAAATGGCTATCTTCAATTTTTTTTTATCTCCGGAGATATTACAATGAGAATAAGCTATGGGTATAAACTTAGTGGGAAAAACCTGTATACATATATTATTTTTAATGTTAAAATAAAATATTTTTCATTTTAGTAGAAACTCAATTATCGAACATTTTGTTTACCAAACGTCAATATGCATCAATTGATGTATCCAAACATTCAGTTTCTGAATATTATCGTAGCCAATAAACTGTTTTTATCATTTAAATATAATCTAATTAAATTAAATGTGTGTAAATAATATTATGTACATATAATAATGGAATATGTAATAATAAATATATACTTATATGTAATACATGTATTACATTTTTTTTAAAAATTCCCAGTATCCAAATTAGGTGTGGCCCCAATTATTTCAGATAATTAATGTTCCACTGTATTTTATTTGCTGTAGCTCAATGCACTAGCAATATTTTTAGTATATTTTAGAGTACCAATAATTTGAATGATATTTTAAGTAGTACGATAATTCAACTAAGTACACATATAGTTAATTATATTATAAACTATTACTAAATGTTATTCTAAAAGTATATGAACTTAATAGAATATTGTTTACATTAATTATAATACAAATTAAAAACATAATAATTTGATCTCTTTTATTTTTGTAAAAATACAAATTTAATGTTTATCAATTACAAAAAAATAAAATCAATGTATAAAATCCAGAAAAAATGCATTAACATAATAAACAATATAATTTATTAAATAATAACACATAATAATTGCCATATCCCCAAAAAAATACTATATACTTTACATCAAGTTATACCATAGGCATATTATGTTTATGGATTATACTAAATATAATACGCATATGTATGGCACATAATAATTTTAACAAATTCTAGATAATTTAATTTTGTATAAAATATTAAAAATGTAGCAACAATAAACAAATTCTAGTATATAATCAGAATAATATTAGCATCACAGAGACGTGGTGGACGGACATTGTATAATAAAACATCAAAAATGCAATACCTGGAACTACTAATAATTTCTTTCTTATTATTGTGCAAATGACAATTTATGTTATGGCAGTATTACAATTGATAACAGTTTTTTATTAAATTATTTACTTCTAGCTATGTTATAAATATACTTATATAACAAAAAACAATACTTTTTATTATAATTAATGTACAATTTTAAGAAAAATGTAAACAATGTTTGTTTTGATGAACCAGTGTATCAAATTTAATTTTTTTCATCATAATGCATGTTGTAAGTCAAGCAATATTTTATTAAAAACTTTATTGCATTAATCACAAAGGTTTTATTTACTTACACAAATTAAGAATTATTCCTAATACTATGAAAATTGAGGTATGGCTGGCAGTAATATTTATTACTATAGCATTTTACAATATCGTAAGATTAGTATCAGTAACTATTTAATGTGTAAAGTTAAATTGAGCATGAAAATAATGGTATTATTTTCTTACTTGTGTTTCATTTAAGCACCACTTTTTTTTTTACAATGCAGTGCAATAAAGTGTTGCACTTGGTAACAGATTCCGATTTTAAGGTATGTACGACTGACCATCAGGTTTACTATCCAATCGTTTACGTCCCATCTGGGTTCGTGTTTGAAATAATTCTCTAATAAGAGTTGCCTTTTCTCTTTCTAATGTTGATATTCTTTCACTTTTTTGTCCCAACTCCTGTAAAAAAAAAATAAAAGCAACATATAAAAAAAAAATAGTCTGATATAAATGAAAATTAAATAAAACCCAACCTCAGTGAGTATATGGTTGCGATGTTTTAGTGTGGCCATTACTTGAGGATTTTGATGTAACATCGTTCCAGAATTATTTGCTGAATGTACAGCTAAGTTCATGTGCAACGGTAGACCACCCCATCGTTCGCCACCATCTGTTAATGCAGATAGGTGTCTGTTAACTTCCAAGACTCTAGCCCGCTGTAACTCAATACGTTCCTGTTGTGCTTCGGTCCACTGGTCTTGCTTTAATTAAAATTATAAAATAAATATTACAAGTGCGTAATTTTTATTTTTTTCATCTTACAGTATGTGAATTTGTTCTTCCGAGGTATTTCATTTTTTCTTGTACAGCGGCAATCTGTTTGTGGTACCAGTCTCTTGCCCTTTCAACAGCTTGAAGACCATGCATAAGAACTTCTTTTTCCTGTTCAATTTGTTTTATTCTTTTCAGCTGAATAAAAAACATGTATATATAGAACTGTTTTATTATTATTTCAGTATTAGGTATGTGTATATTTACCATATTATAATCAATACCGCTCTGAAGAGTATGGCGTCTTGGCTCTCTCCGTCGTTGGTTAATTCTTTTATAAGTTTGTTCACCTAAAACAAAAATATATTAATGCCAGTTAAGATTTAGTTACTTGGGTTAAATTTTTAATTACTTGATTGTTTTTCACTTCTAGAACTGCTTTGATCATTTAACAATACTCCAAGTTGCCAATTTTGCAAAGCTGTTCGTATTTCTGCCTTATCTATAATTCGTTCACCAGATGCAAGCTGTAAGCCACGTTCTAGACCAGCTGCAGTTCTAGGCGGTTTTGGGGGTCCAAAAAGAGACGATGATGTAGATTTTTGTGATAACTGATGTACTTCTTTATTATTGCGTTCTAAAGCTAATTGTGGCATACTTAGTGTTCTTTGTTGAGTCGGTCTTATGGCAGCCATGTTTCCATTTGTCCATTGTACATTAGGTTTTATGTCTACATCTAAAAGTGGAGCAGATGGAGGCCGCACAGAATCACTCTCTCGACGACCATTTTCCATTTGATTACGAAGTAAGCACATTTTTAAACCAGTACAAAAGCGGTCAAAAGACAGTAAACCATTTGGTGGTGTTACTTTTCGAAGACTGTCGAGTACTCCTTTTGGTAAACCTTTTGTGCCATCGTCTTGCCACCGTGTTTCAATTTCTATAGCATAAAAACACATACGACAATATTTTATATTTAATCAATAGGTATAGGTACAAAAGAAATGAAAAAAAAATAACCAGAAAATTTAACATAACCAGTCCTTTTGTCATCTAGAATGTCAAAAAGCGTTCTCATAGATAGAACAAATTTTGCAGGTAATCCTTCAGTGGCAGAATTCTTAACGTCTCCCACATGTATCGGAGTCATGACAATATTGTGGGACTACCTGATAGACAAAATTTTTAAATAAAATCAATTGAACAACCGATGATTCTTCTTAAAGCACATCATTTGTAATGGGCATACAAAAGAAAATTGGCATAAATCCTGCCCGATGTCATAACAACATCACAATGATTTATGTAAAAATTAAAAACTCGATTTGTACCTATATTTTAACACTTACCTACGAGCGTATAAGCCAATTGGAAACCGATCAGACTACGGACTAGTATGTGGAGTATTATGTATTAAAGACCTTCGTGACTGAAACTTTGGAAGCGTATCCGTTCGCATTGTCCTAAAAACATCGACAAACGACAACGGTGGGATGAAGGTACAACTACGACAGGCAGCACAAGGTTGACGGGCGACATGATTACAAAACGATAATGAAAGTAGGAATAATAATATACTAATACAGTTTCTGACCCTACAATATGTTCAGCGGTCACTATCCGGAAAAGCGACGATACTCGTGCATAATATTAATATTATTATAAGAATCACTGTATTAGCAAAAATACCTGTACCAAGGTATGTGCGTGCGTGCGTGCGTACGTTTATCAATAACCAACAGGTGCGCCCACTGCGCCCACATATTTCCGACTCCAAATCACCGCTTATACTAGACCTTCGTAAATCCGTCGCCTAAGAAACGACAATGCTAGATCGCGCTCTCTCCATAGGGCATACACACGTCTTGAACACAGTTCTCGTCTTTACGTAATTACGTCTTGAGAAACAACATCGACTGAATGCACAATATTAGCCATTAGGTACCGTAAGTCATAAACGGTAATAGCGGTAGCGGGTAGGGTACCTGTAATTTATATTCTACAGAAAATAAAACGGTCACGTACCTACCTACCCACTCATACTTGGCCAGTTGCCCCGTGTGACCGTATATCGTTATAGCTGATATTACAATGATCATATACCTATACCACTTATATTCTATAATGTGACCATATCATATATTACAAGACCATTCATACAAACACACCCACGACTCGTATCTTAAAGTAAACTCGTATAAATGTTAAAATGTCATTACTATAATAACAGGTACCTATAGGCACGTGATTAAATGAGTGTGCGAATACGTAGATATAATGAAATTCTACTTTTGTCGCCTCATAAATCCTATTTGCTGACCAGCTAATAATATAATAGGTACCATCATTATATCCATTGTTCTACTATCATAATATTAATAAAAATAAGCTCTCGTGTTCGATAAGTTTTCGATTTTTAAAATGTACCAATTAATTAAATAGGAATAGCTTCCGAACGATACATATAAGTACCTCCTTATTTTCATTAATGCATCTTAAATACCAAATTCATAAATAAAAGAAACGAATATATAGCGCAAACCCGTATTAAGGAAGGGCGAACTTGAGAAAACTTGAATTGTTACGTAAAATATAGTTGACACTATGAATTGTATGAGGCCACGTGGGATATTCAAAAGATACGATTTTGGACACAGATGGATGCAGAGTAAAGATGCCTTCACAGCTTACGTGAAACGTGATAATTTACAATTTGTTCGCCATGATTGATACAATTAAAAATAGTTGAACCATTATCATTAAACCGTGGTGAACACACGAACCGACTACGATTGTACTCAACTATCCGGTATAAGCGGTATAGAGAAGGTATTAAAATCATAAATGATGATTGACCACTGGTTAACCACTACATAATAACCACATGATTTGTTTTGACATTCCAGCTATTTTCTATTGATAATATAGCAGGAATTAACAGTACCACTTTATAATTTGTTAAATTTATATAAAAACCCTGTCTGTGTGAAAAATCTTAAAATAAAATTGTAAATTCATATTTTGTATGCAAAAACTCTAAAACTGCTCCAAACTCGGATAATGACCTAAAAAATAAAGAAAATAACCTAAACACTAAGAATTGTCAAAAATTGCTAAAAAATGTAAAATAAACTTTCTTATTCTTATTCAAAAGCACACGGTAAGAATTTGACACCAGACGAGCATAGCACAGCAACCTATGGAAAAAAATGCAGAGCATCGAAATCCCAGCCCTATTTACGACAAAATATATTATACAGTAAACAAAACGTTTTTAAGAATAACCGACCAAGTAGCAAACTGTTTACCGAAAATTACATCGTCAAAACGGTAATCCGAAAAAAAATCACTAAAACAACTATACTGCCAATAATAATAATATTTAAAATAGGTAGTTTAAATACATACTTCAATTTTATTTATATGTATTATCGTCTAAATGTCTTATCATTTTCATCCATATGTTTTTTTAGTCTATAGATGACAAACGAAACAACAAACATTTCCAGAAAAGAAAATTCCAAATTGTTGAATATAACTGTATTATCTACTCTCTCTAGGGAAGCCCGCGTAAGTGTTAATTTTGGTTAGCAAATATCCCTATGCCATAAGCTATGTAAAGCTATGTATACAGAGTGATTGATTAAACAGTAAACGTCCTCACCCCCTTCTTTTAGTTAAATTTTGTATATGTTGGAAGTTCTGGTTTTTGGAATTTTTAAGTGTAGTTAAAGCCGATATTTTCAAATACTTAGAGTTTTCACAACATTTAAGGAATACCTTGTGGCGATACCAACTTTGGTTTTTCAAATGTGAACGTATATTAAAAATTACAGAAATAGATGGAGGTTTAATTTATATAAAAATTGGTGTTGACATTTTTGATTTACGTCTACCCGTTAACGAGTAACGAAATATTTCTCTTTTAAGTTTAGATAGTGGGAGAGTATTATTTGTGAGGCGGAACGGCGCGCGGCATTTTAGTTAAACGAGCCGCTGATCTATAGTTTTGAAATATGTATAGTAAAAAAAAAGGATGATTGGATGTTGTCGTTTTTTGGAGCTACATATCAAGACAATAACATTAATATTCTCAATCATACCTATCTTTTGCTTTAGCGTACTGACACACACGATTTTATTTGATGAGATATTATTTTAGTTGTACTTTGTATTATGCTACCTCCTAGGGACGGCAACGATATTATCAATGTATCAATATTTTATTTTCGATTATTTTGTGATATCGATATTTAACTTTTGATATTTTCGTGATATCGATAATTTTATTACCCATACTATGAATATTTTGCATCCATGACAATGAACAGGGTATAACCATGACCATTATTGTACACTTTTTTTTCACACAATTGATACCTCCTACCGCCGCCTGTAGGGCTTCAGAATCACTATCGGATATAATGTACATAGAGTAACTACAACTTACTTATGATAATGTCGTAATTGGCAACACGTCCAGCTGTAACTAATCTTTCACTATATCCAATAGAAACTTGTGAATAAATGAAAATGGTATACCCACAGATGTAAAAAAACGTTGTTTTATACATCTGTAGGCGTACCCAGATCTTTACACCGAAAGTAGAAAAATATTTTGAGTCTTTGCAACATCGGTACCATTAGAAACTTCTCCAAAGCTAGAGCCACTTTGTCTAAGGAATGGAACAGATTATTGGGGAAAACACTCTTCAAACTATTATTTTTGAGCTCTGTTGATGACAAAATATTGGTTTTGAAATTGACAAAAATAAATCATTGAATTTTTTATACTTTGATATTGATGCAATTAAATTTACCAGTATCTCTGTAAATATGTGTTGTACAAAAGAAATGATAATAAATGAGAAAATAATAGGAACAGGAAAACAATATAACCTCAAAATTGATATTAATGGATTTGGTCTCTTTAGTTTGCCATAGATAATATATACATGGTTGGGACCTATCCACGATTTCAAGCAGAATAATGATAGATCTATTGTTGTTAATAGGCCTATGTTTTCAAGTGTAACCTGTAAACTGGTTACCAAAGTGGTTATATATAATTAAGGTGTGATAATAACCATAAGTGATAACGAATATGCAATTTACTGACTACCGGCTGTACAATATAATCATATTAATATATTATATACCATTTTTTGCTTGTACTTTGTGATTTTAAACAATGGCAAATGAATAGGTAATTAAAATAGTAAAAAAAAAATTGTAAAAAATAATATTCACGATGTTTGGAATTCTGATGAAATCAATTAATATTCGGTAGTTTCAATTTTGATTATACTCAGTATAATGCTAAATTAAATCACTGATGTTTAATAATTTTTTTGAGAACTTTTCTACTTTACGGAACACTTCCATATTTGGCCAAATTTTTTTACAAAAAAGATGTCAATAGAATTTTGAGCACGAACTTAGTTTCAAAGTTAGCCAATCGCACTGTTGCACAATATTAACTTTATTCTTGATATTTGGCGAAATTCATGTTTACAAAGCATTTACGAAATTTTTTAAAAACGCCGGTATACTCAATCACACAAATAATGATGAATCGACATGATATTTTCATCGGCAACGACAACAATGTCGAAAACGACGTGAAAGAAAATTACGGCGACGAGAATTAACGAATATAATTATACATTTTTAAATTTAAATAAAAAATACATAAATAACAACCATAGATGACAGCTGATTTAAATATTGATCACCCAGAGATAGATAATAAAGTAGAGTGCTAACATTCAGCTGGATTCATAAGCAAGCCAGACGACGCTAATTTTCCGCCATGTTGGTTAGGTTATGGTATTTTATCAATTATTGTTGTGATTATACCGTAGACCTAATAACAGCTATGCTATAGACCGTGCATTCAATCCCCCTCGTCAAACGCGTAAGTTGGTATTAAGTAAGAGGGGAAGATATTTTGGAGAACCATATCATGGAATAGAATATATTATAATGTTTTTATTCCATAGATATAAAACATTAATACAAAAACAATACATAATACATTAATTGGTTTGTATGTAAAATAAATAGAAATTTTTAAAAAATGGACATGGTACGAATTATTAGGTCTATGGATTATACACAGATACATGTTTTGATAATTTATGAACTCAAAAATAGTTTCAATAATAATTAACGTAATTATTTGTATGTTACTGTCAAATATTGTTTATTGTTATTATTTAATAATTAATAATTATAAATAATCCTATTTTTATATGATCATTTTGATTAATGATTTACATATACAATTTTGTTTACATTATAATATGATTTTACGTATATATTTAGTTTATTGCCTATATCTGTGGTAATATATACGATTTGATTTGTAATACCAATAAACGATTATCCAAGGACGGGTTTTTGTACATTTTTTATTTATATTGTTTATAGTTAGGGGAAAATTCAGAAAAATGCAAAGAGCTTGTATACACAGATGCGGAAAATACCAACTTCGAAAAAAAAAAAAAATCCAACACATTCAAAGCTTGTTGTTAGTGTCCTTAGCTAAATTTTAAGACCTATAATCTCGTGGGGTGGAAATAAAGGAAGATGTATGAGAAAGATAATATCGGCAGATCACAATATTTTGAATTTTAATCGAAAAGTCGATAATACAGAAGAGCCGTAATACAAAATTCTGAAATAATATTTCGAAAGAAAACAGTTGGCAACGTAAAAATATTGTATTTAATCCCTTATCAATTATTTGGCAACTACCAATATCCGCGGTACCGGTATCCGGGTGTCGGCCATTCGATGAAACAATGATTTGCTTATGTTAGTTACGGTTTGTCGTTTCCAATAGTTTAAAGTGTTATTACGTTCCATTCTATAATTTCATCCATCGCCCCATGACTTGTGCTTTTTAGTATATTACTATTACTGCGGTTTACGTTAAAAAACTTTTGTCATTGTCTATTGTTTGACCAAATTGTCTGTGTTCATTTATTAATACATATCTTTTATAAGTACGACTTCTACTTTTACTATTATATTTGCAATGGATTCCGAAATCTCCAACAATGGCGCTGATGTTGGAAAACTGTCAAAGGACGAACTTAAAGTGTACGATCGGCAAATACGTCTATGGGGCCACGATGGACAGAAAAAGTATTCATCATTCAGTAGACGGTTAAAATAATTATAATGAATATTTATTAACATGTGTTTTAATATTAGGTTGAGTTCATGGAATGTTCTTTTAATTGGATTACAAGGTTTGGGTGCTGAGATTGCTAAGAATTTAATATTATGCGGGGTCCATTCAATTACTCTTAAGGACCCCTCTGATGTCTCAATTTTAGACCGTTGTTCGCAGTTTCTAATACCTCCAGATAGTGAGCAGCGAAATGTAAGTATTTAGTTGCAAAATTTATCTTGCAGTACCATTGTACCAAGTATGACTAATTGGTTTGTTGTGTTATAATCAAAATGGAACAAGTCTAGTTTACTGGACACCCTTTGTTCTCTAATTTTTTTTTTTTTTCAAATACTTATTTTTTAATGCTGATTTTGGAATTGTTTGATTTTTGTTGCGGATTTCATTTTTAAAGAATTTATTGAAGTTTGAAGTTCATTGTATGAACATAGGTGCACCTAGAGACCTAGCGGGGTCACTCGCTCGGACTATTTTAAACGATAGTAATCCTCGATTTGCTGTGCAATATCATGTCAGGTGGTTTATGATCACATTCCCGTCTGACATTTACTCATCCGATTAATTTCTCTGTCCAACTAACCTCAAATAAACACGCCCATAAACAATAAATAAGTGAATTTTAACATCTTGTATAATTATTGTAAGGTTAATAAATCTGTACATTTTTTTTAAAAAAAAAGTATTTATTATCTATTTATGTCATTGTATGAGTGAGTCACATGGCTGGTTTAGCTGAATTTGACATATGCGAAAACATATCATATTACTAGTGTAATGGTACTTTGTTACAAACAGTCTTTTGACAACCATCGTTCTTATAATAATATATTATCCACTAATAATCTTATTTAGTCTTGTGTATTAAATATTTTATTATAATTATATTTTTGAAAGTTGATTTTCTTTTTTTTATTTCTTATTTATTTAAGTCTCAATTATTTATTATGGCCTTAGAATATGTAAAAAATACAAAATAAAAAACATTTAAAAAGAGAAATACTGGTAGTTTTAGTTTAGGAAAATAAGTGGTTTTTTGAGGTTAATTGGACGAGAATATTAATTGGAAGGGGATGTGACTTGCTACCTTTCAGGTAGGTAATAGTGAAAAAAATTGACTTAATTGAGCTTTGGGGTAAAATCAAAATGTTTAACACATCATATGCAAATTAAACTCATGTTTTTCTACAAAAAAAAAATTAACAACTATGTATTTAATAGAGATGTGACAAATTGTTAGATTTTCGAACTGAAAATTGTAAATAATCAAACTTAATCAAATACTAAATAGTTCATTCCGAACCCTAAAATTGTTAATATAATATAATAATTAATAATATACCTATAATTTTAATATTTTTTGACATAACTTAACCTTTTTACTTTTTTAATGTTAGTATTGGATAAAATATTTTTATAGTTCGATTCGACTTAAAAAATCAGGGTTTGTAACAACCCTAGTATTTAAGCAAAAACTATAATAACAAGAAACTTCCATAACAAACCATAATCTTCCGCAAACAAATTTTCATCAGTTCTGAAATCAACATCAAAAAACATGTATTAAAAAAAAAAAGTACATAGGTACATTATTTTTTATTTCATATGGCGTTTTGGTGAAAAATATACATACATAAACTGTTTAAAATGCCAAACTAGATAACAACTAAATATATACTTAATACATACTAAAACTAAGTAATAACCTAATAATCTAATAACTCATAACTCATAAAATTTAAATGAATTATACAAAACCGTAAACTTTAAGGTATATAAAATTAAAAATAGTACATAAATGACTACAGTAACATATAACGTTGAGGGTAATTTAAATGGTAACCATGAAATAGACAAAAAAAACTTATTTCCATCTCTAGAGACGCACCACTATGTTAAGTAGCCAATCTTGTGCCTCAATGTCGCCTTTGTGGAGCCTTTCTGTTCCTACTTAATATTTTGGTAGTGAGCATGACTCAACAACATGTTTAATGATTTGAAACTGCTTCCCACATTCATAGAGTGGAGAATACCATTTTTCATTTATGTATAAGAAACTTACACTTTCCCTGTTCTGTTCTGATATTATTTAAGGCAGTACACATTGCACGGAAAAGTTACCTAGATACTAAACAACAATATAAAATATAAATATAAATAACAAAATAAGCAATTTATAAAAAATATTTGAAAATTGTTTGTCAAATTATTTACAAACAAACAAATTTTCCAAATTTGATGCATATTGTTTTAGTGTGTATATTATTGTTAATATTTAATTGAGAAATTATCATAAAACAATTTGTTTAACATTAACTGTTAGTTTTGATTTTAATTAACTTCTAACAGACAAAATAAATATATTTGTAGGTAGGTATTTGAAAGTTATAATTAATTTAAGACTGTTGCGATCAATTATGTAAGTAAAACTAATATTGGATTAGCATAATTAGCTACTATTATTTTAGTTTTAAGAAAATCATTTTTCTATTTTATTTTCTTCTTTTGTAGATTTGATATTCAATAATTTTTATTAAGTTTTTATCTTATATAAATTTTAAATATATACCTAGGTCATACAGTTATAAGTATTTGTCTTTTATCAGTAGATCACATTTTGATATTGGGCCACACCTTAATAGACCTCTACCAAAATATAGTTTTTGTCACCCAAAATCACTAGTAATTAGTAAAATATATATTTGCGAATAGCTATGTAATAAGAATAATAATATTTATTTTATTGTAGCGGGCTAAAGCTAGTTTAACAAATGCTCAAAAATTAAATCCCAACGTCAAAGTCACAGCCGATACAAAACCCATTGATGAAGAGGATGAACATTTTGTCACAAAGTTTGATATTGTTATTGCCACTGAATGCTTTCCTGCGACTTATAAAAAATTAAATGAAAATTGTAGAAAAAATCAAGTAAAATTGTTTATAGCTGATGTATTTGGTTTGTTTGGCTATTTTGTTCAGGATATGTAAGTAAAAATGTAATTTAGTTAACAAAATGTAAAATTAATAATTTTATTGTTTTTAGCACTTTTGAACACAATTTGTATCATGAGATTTTTCCAAACTATGATCAACGTAGTAATGTTTCAGAAAACTGCCCGTTACCATATTATTTAACATCAGGTATGTATAATTATAAAATAAAGTAAGAGTATTATTGATTTTTAAAATATTTTAGCATTATTGAGATTTCAATGCGAATCAAATCGAAAGCCTAATCCAGATACTTGTGAGGAAGATGTTGAAGAACTTAAGTCTATAATTTCATCTTTTGAACAAATTACAGATATTGAGGCATATGATGAGTATTTCGGGTAATTATAATTATAATTCTTTAAATTTAACATTAATATTAATAATAAAATGGTTATTTCAGTGAACTATTTTGCGAAATGAGTCCAACTACCTCTATTATTGGTGCAATGGTAGCTCAGGCAGCAATGAATACTATTATGGACAAGACAGTTGAGGATTTTAATGTATTTTTTTATGATCACGTGGAACATAGAGGACAATATTTTAAGTTGTAAAATATTATGATATAAAATTAGACTGGTTTTTTTTTTTTTTTTTACATTAAATAAATAATAATTTCCTCTAGATTTAATTTTAAAAAAAAATAAGTTCTCAATTGTATATATATAGTATTTTTTTTTAAAACTAGACTTGTAGTATACTAAATTAATATTTATAATTTATTTATTTAAGTAACAAAGATAATTTCTGATGTTTCAATAATAATAAAAATTTGAGAAGTAAAGAAATATAATAAATGTGTTTTTTGTTTTTTATCTCTAATTTATTACTAAGATCTTATTTTGTGATATTAAATTGCTTTAATTTTAGTTTAATTTTTACCATTATATAAAATACATTTTCTATCTTTTGATTATAGGTTTTATTATCATGTTGTTTATCATAACAAATAATTGGGACTTAAGTCGAAATTATTTTTAAATACAATAAAAATGTTTTCTGAACTTATTTTATTTATATTTAATGTGTAAAAAATATCTGTTATGGTAATATTATTTTGTGACATGAGTTCAATCTTGTATAAATAATTATACTTAAGAAGCTTTAGTAATCATAAACTAAGATGAACTTAGTTCATGTTAATCACTAGGGTCGTCATACATTCCAGAATACCTGGTATGTAACCAGTTTTTTATTCGGTGTACCGGTATTCTATAAATAAATGTTGGTGTTCCTATATCTCTAATAAAATAACTATTATAGAAAGTTAAATTTTTATTGTTAACAAATACAGGATAAAGAAATAAAGCCAAATGTGTAGCTAAATAATATTGGGAAGATTTAAGGAGAATAATATATATATATATATATATATAACAACAAGTGTACGATGATATCTAATTGACTGATAAGCTACATCAACCCTAAATTGATAACATCTAAAGTATTTTAATGTGCAAGTACAACTACAAAATGATTAGTTCTTAATTGTATAACTGTTGAAATAGTAACAACTTCTTACATCAGTTTTTTGTCTACTAAATTTAAATGATTTAAAAGATTTGAAATAAATATTTGTGGGATGTTATACCTGCATGTACAGTTATAAAACTTAAAAATAAAAAAGACTTGTCATCATATTTTTAAATGTATATATTTATAAATCTATAAAATATCATAGTTTAACAATACTTAATATATCTTGTTGAAAAATAAAACTGATAATGTTCATTTCATTTGTAATAGGTCAATTATGAACTCCGATATTGTAATCTATAGCAGTCCTTGCTGAATGAAAATGTATTGTTCCGCAGTTGTATGGTGTTTCCACAATTTAGCGAAGTGCATAGTATAAATGAATTTAAATTTATGGAATTAAAATATATTTATCTATTGCGGTTTTCACCATTATCAATATTATTTATACTTAACTTATCTAACCTAACCTAATGAAGATCTCTGAAAATTGCGATACAATTATGGAAGTATCTTAATTTAATTAAAAATGACCCAAGACAAATAATGCTATTGAAGAATGGCATAATTTGAAAAAATAAAAAAAAATTAAATCTTATTAAAATACATCAATTCATTGCAGGTAATGAACCAAAACCCACAAAAAAGTAAAAAGATCAGTATTAAGATTAAAGAATATTTGCCAACAATTTGTTTTAAGGACAATAGACAATTTTTTAAAGGGAATCGTACAAAATATTTAATTGCAAAATTTAAAAAAAAAAATTATTCTGATTTAACACTTCTGGATTATTATAGGTATACAAAAAAAAATTATTTTGATACTTTTTGTTATTATATTGTATTATTTTATGACAATTGTATAGTTTTATTATAATACTCTTATACATATGAAAAACAAAAATTATCGGGCTCAATTGTCATAGATCTGAAAACAACACACTCAAGTACTTAAATACTTATTATTTTATGATTAATCTTTTGATAATTTTAAAAAAAGTATTAATTTTATAATTTATGATCTATTTGTATGATAAGTACAATTGTTGATACATTGATATAGTATATAAAATTATGTTGTTTTTTTGAATAAATACCTAATATGGTTCAATGTTTTGATGAGACGTTGGTAAGGTAGAATATAAAAGGAAGTTTAATGTATATCTGTGCAAAAATGTATCATTACTAAAGAAAAACGATTCTGAGCGAAGCTTGATTAATATTATTGCTTTTTCAACAATATATATCATAATAAAATGAATATTATATTGAAACAATTTGTATGGAATAATAACTAGATTTGTTCCACATAATTTTTTACTATAACAATTTTTGTCAAAATTTGTTATTAAAATTCTTATGAAAAAAATATACTACCCACATCAAATTAAATTTTTTTGTTTTAACCACAAAGTACAAATTATAATTAACTTCCTATTCAATTTTCAAACATTTCTGTTTTATCTAACAATTTTATCCACAGAGTACCTACCAAATAAAAATTACTCACAAAATTGAAGTGTCTATAAATTGCTTAAATATGGCTCAAATGCTTTTTACAGTTTTACCATGTAAAAAAAGGAAATATAAATTTTCTGTCTCTATGAAGATTTTGAATTGAATTACAAAAATAACAATTGAAAATAATTAATGCATTATTTTCGTAAATTTCCCGTTTTTCTTGTTTTCTATCAGATTCTCCAAATATTATGAAAACCACTCGGAAAATCAAAAAATAACCACCTAGAATCTAAACAATATTTCCTTTTAGTAATGGCGCCATACGCACATATTGGAGCAAGATTTTTGGTAGAAATTTTTGTCACAATATGAAAAAAATAAATAAACTTCTTTATAAAACCAACTCATTCTTCGCTACTTTTAGAATTTAAGAAATTTCATCAAATGCCAATGTAAGTCAACTTCATTTTGGGGGGAAGGAAATAATCGCCTCCCCTTCAGGGACTCGCCGAGGCTATCCCATTACTCATGTAATATATATTCAAATTATATAAAATATTGTACACATTTAATGTATTAAATTATATTATTAGTTTTATTTAATAATAACAAAATAAATAAATGAATGACAGTACATTCTGAGTCATCTCCAGCCGTGTTGGCACATAACAATATTAAAATTTAGTATTAACTGCCACAAGAATATTACATTTAGTTATTTATAATTTTTAATAAAATAAAAAAGTAAAAACACAATTATTAAAATGTTTAATGCTTGCAAATAAATATATAAATAAAATAAATTAATGAATGAATGCGGGAGTATTATGATAAGTGTATTATACTTAATATACGGTTTTAAATTAAAAATTCATCATTAGGTATATCACAGTCAAAATGTAAAACGCGACTGAATATAAAATATTAAATGAATGAGTACACAGAAAAAAAATGTACAAGTTTGTCGTTTTACATAGAATATAGAAATAATTTATTTTAATAGTAGAGATTTAATTTAAATTTACATTTAATTCTTTTGTTCAGTTGCGTTTTACATTTTGACTGTGATTTACCTGATGATGTATTTTTAATTCAATACAGGTCGTATAATACACTTATCATATTACTTAAGGCGACTTATTCATTTATTTACGAGTATTAACCATTTTAATAATTTTGTTTTTAATTTATTATTTTATTATTTAATAATAACAATAATAATAGAGTCAAACCAGAAAATAATTGAACCCGTGTTTTTATTAAATTTTGTTTTCAGAACAATTGGGACTGAAAATGCAGATTTCGAGTCAAGTTAATGTAATTGATTACCTACTGGAAAACACATGTTTAGTAAACCATAATAACGTTGTGAATAATTATATGTGATTAAGATTCTCCCCAGAAAGTTTGAAATTGTTACTTAATGATTATTGATCACTTTTTGAATCTTAATTAAGTCTATTTTTTTATTTAACAATATGAAGTATGAAAATAAAAAAACATACTACAATTAAAATGTATAACAGTTAAAACTAATGTATCTGAAGCATAAAAGTATAAATAATTTAATTGTTTATGATTTTATAAATAATCTATTCAAATTATTTCACGATTTACTGAATGTTGATTTGTATTACAAACTGAAATTATCATTGCCAAAAAATGTCTAAAATGAAAATGACAAAGTAATAATACATCAGAACATTTTTCAGTATACACGAATTATGATGTAATTGTATTTTAGATTCTGAGTGTAGCGAAGAATGTATTAGTTTTACAAAGATGTTTATTTTTTCTTTATATACACTTTTTTTTACCAGGAAGCTTATTTTGATGTAGACCCTGTTCTGAAAGGAATTTTCTTGGGGTGGTACTTTGGGGAGGTTATTTTTTAATTTCTTCAACAAATGTGAAAATCCAAAGAGAAACGGTAAAATGTACAAAATATATTTCTATATTACTAATATTATTAGTAAAACACTAAAACTAACAATTTTGCTCCAATTTACACTTTTTCTGAAAAGAAATCCGCGACTGGGAAGGTACTTTAGAGAGGTCATTTTTGATTTACCCAGAAGTTTTCTCAATACATTGGAGAAACGGGAAAATAGGTATAATATTAAACAAATATTATAAAAGAAAATATATAATGCTTATTTATCATAATAAGAACTATATATTGTTGACAAAGCATCACTATCAACTGAACTCCGCTCAGAATCATTTTTTTTGTTAGCAATGGTTTATCATTGCTTACAGATATACATTAAATTCCCTTCTGTATCTCACCTACAACATTGGCAGCACCTGCGTGTGAAGTATGTCAGTCTTGTTATTTATTGTTATTATCAATAATATAAATTGGTAAAAGGGGAAATAGGAAGTAAAGCCCTATACAGAAATTTGACCACCCTTCATTTATGATGGAAATATATACGAGAAATATATGAATATAATATATACAATATCGTATATATATATAGTTAATAATTTGTTTCTATAAAATAAATATTTACAAACATTTAACACTTTGTACATGGTGGCAGTGTTACTATAATAATAAAATGTTATTTATCCATAAACAATATGATGACTATATCACAGCAACACAAATTAAAATATCAACATTAGTTTTATGGCATAAACAATTTTTTGTGTTACAACAGCAGGAATCCATTGAAGTATTGTTATGATCAACCGTTGTATGGTGAGAGTAGGTGCAAAATGCTAAAAGTTGTGGATACACAAAATATAATTAAAAATATAACTGATAATGGTAACAACTTAATCCACAAAATCTTATTAGAGATTGATCAAATACTTCAAATACTGAATTTAATAAAAAATATAATTGGGGGGAGGGGGGACTTTTATACATTTAAAAATGTACCTACTAAATAAGATTTAAGGAGCAGAGTAAGATAATTCATTTTTATTTGATATTACATTTTGTTTTTTTTTCTTTATAATAAAAATTACTTGAGATTAAATAAATACTATAAATATCAATGTGATATTATTTTTTCATCACTTTAATAAAAATTATTAAAGAATATGTACTATTGTCGAAGATATATCATGTATATTATAATCTGGTAACAACTTATCAAATTTTCAGAAATATAGTCGAACAAAAATAAAATTAAATGGCGTGAAGAAATTATAAAATGCAAACATAAAAATTTGAATAAATTGTTAGTTCAAAACTGAAAATTATATATTTAAATGTTATTAAATAATTGTAAACAATAAAAAATAATAATAATATTATTTACTATTTAATTAAAATATTTTTTTCAATATCAAAACCTATACACCATTATCAATAATAGTTATTTTGAATTAACTTTTTTTTTCAATTAGAAAAAAATCCAATATATTAAAAAAAAAAAACCAGTGTAAAAAGCGATATAATTGTATATTTTCTTTTAGAAAAAAATTCACATTAGACATCACACAGAAAAAAAAAAAAACTATATACACGTGTATCAAAATTATGAACTCAAGGAATATATTTATCCAACATTTGATTGTTATTAAAACAACTTTTATACATAATATGTATATATATATATATATATACATACATACATACATTTTGTTAGTACTGTAAACTAACAGGAAACACTTTGACTAAGTACTTTTTATTAATTATGTTTTGTGTATAATTTTTTTAAGTGAAATTGCACTAGTTTTATTAATGGATAATAAAAAATAAAAACTGGCAGCATTCCTTAATTGGTAGAAAAAAAAACAGTTTCCAGGATTAAAAAAAATAATAAAATAAATATATCATAATTAAAATAAAACCAAAAATTTAATATCAGAATATAAATAATAAAATGTGATTTACAAAATATTAAATGTCTTATTAAATCATATAACATTAATTTTGTTTGACTGTTAAAAAAAAAAATTAAAAATATATAATAAATAATACATAACACAACATAATTACGCACGACAAATAAACATGTAATTCTTATTACCATATATAAAAGTATTGAAAATAATGGCTTGCTGTGGTATAAAACAATATTTATACAATGCAAAAAGGAAAAAAAAATACATTGAATTTTAATACATCAGGTGGTCGAGTTGATGTGATCACCCCAGGAAATTAAATATATTATTATGTACATGTCTTATTTATTAGTAAGTCTGATGATACATTTTGAGAATCTTACTAGATATTTTCAAAAATCGATATTGATACTATTTAGGCATGTGTGTGTAATGGAGGGTACAGTTATCCATTCAAATGATATTAGAAATGTGTAATATTGCCAGAATGACAGGAAATTATCCAACATGATAAATAATAAAAAACAAATGGTACATATAATTGTTCTCATACATTGGTGTTCTTTTTTCTATGGTATGGAAATCCTAATAATTCTGAAAACACGAAAAAAAACACCTTTGGAGACATATAAATATATAAATAGTTTTGTGTGTGCGCGTGTGACTAAAACAACACACATTTAAATTGTTACTATTACTATAATTACACTACAATGATTGTGTATATTGAACATTTTTTATTATTGGGCTGCTAGATAAATTCTCGAAAATAATATATTCGTAATAATTTACTTATAATATATATTTGTAAAAAAAAAAAAATGAAAACTGTTGATACATCATAGTATATGTTTTGATTGTCGAGGAAAATTCTCGACTTCTCTATGCATATACAAATAAAAACAGACATGTATAATATTATGCATAAATAATAAAAATAATAATAAAAATAATAATAAAAATAAAAATAATAATAATAATAATAATAATAATAATAATAAAAAAAAAAATAATAATAACAAGTAAAACGAGTGACTTAAATTTAAATAAAATACAGAGCGAAAATGGGGTGAGCACATTATTGAGACGTCTCCCATATAGATTATCAATATAAATACCAAAATTACAATTTTTTTTTTAAATTAATAAAATTTACACAGGTAACTCAGAGAATTTCACAATATTTTCGCTTAAATGTATGTTTTAATTTTTTAATGAGACTGACTAGAACCACCCTTACACATTTTATCGAGGGTTTTTTTATTTTATATAAATTATTAAAATTGCACAATTTAAACCTCCACCTCATGATGTTAATTAAAATTATCATTTCTTGTTTAAAGAAAACAATTATGATGGGGAGTTAAAATATATTTTTTATTAATTTTTTTTTTGAACAGTTTCACTTTTTTACTTACACTTAAACATTTATATTCTGATATTAATAATTTCTTAATCTCATTAGATTTATGTACACGTATTTTATATTGACAATTTTATTAAAATTTAAATATTATATAGTTTGTATAATTATTATAACATAAGGGTTAAATGCAACGAACATGTAGGAGATTAATCATATATATATTTTTTTTTTAAAATAAAAAAATTAAATAAAATTAAAAAAAAAAAAATGCGCTCTTATAAAAAGTATTAATCGTAATGTTTTCAATTCATTTTTACACGAGTAAAAAACTTGTATTAAAAAAAAATTTAGTTACCCTTTATATGTTATGTTATCGAAATCATGACGAATTCACGCCGACTCACACACGACACCAACATTAACAAATGGACACTCATGGAGATAAAAATGTGAGAGAAAATGTACTCAGTTAAAAATATTGTACAAAAAACTTAGGATACATTTTCTCATTTTTTTTTCTTTATTGTTTGTTTTTATATATAATTAGGATTTATACTAATTGTATTGTTATTTTAACATTATAATAGTAAAAAATATTAACATATGTGGGGTTGTATGTGGTTTGTGCAACATTACACTAGGTTGTATTCTTTGAGATTGGATTGTAGTATGGTATCTTTCACTGCAGCAAAGACAAACCTAATGTTTTCAGTATCTGTGAATAATTAAACAAATCATTTTTTACACATATAATATTTATGGATAAACTCTTAAAATTTAAATATTTATTTAACCATGATTTTGACATAACATACTAGTATTAATATAAAACAAAAATAAACACAAAGTTGTTAATACATAGGCAATGTTAGTAAATTAAAACTGTTTGATATTACCTTAAACAAATCGCATGCATAAGAACAAATTATGACAACCATCAGCAATGCATGCAAATATAATGTTTCATAATTTTTAACAGATAACCTAATAATTTGAAAACCCACAAGCAAAATCTATGATTAATAGCTTTTAAGTAATGAATGTGTTACATAATATTATTAAAATACAGTAGAATCTGCTTATAACGATTTTCAAAGGACCTAAAGAATTACATTACTATATCTAACTTTGTTTTATGTTTGGATGACAAATGTTTTATTATACAAACCACATTATATATTTATGAATAAAAAAAGGTACTTATTATGTAGTTTATAAGTATATATTCTCAATGCTTTTCAAATATCTTTATTAGACAAATCATTTTCTAAAAGTTTAATTATATTCATTTTTTCAGCGATAGAAAAACGTCTTTTATTTGACATTTTTAAGAATGGAACGTGCCTAAATGAATAGAAATCAAAACAGTGACACATATTGTGCTACATACTAAATACTATGTATTATAGATTAGATAAATAATTATCGCACCGGACCAATTTATTGTTATGTGAATGAAAAAACCAATTTTTTAATTTCAAAATACCATTGTTATATTCGACCAAAATTACTGCACGTAAGATATAAAACCAACTAAGCACATGACTGGGAATCATTTTATCTGGAATATCGTTATATACAGCATCGTAATAAGCGGATTCTACAGTAATTATAAAAAGATAAAACAATAAGAAAAATAAAATAATATAATTTTATTCATTAAAATAATTTTCTTTGAAACAAGCAAAATAAAATATAAGTATTTTATTCTTAATAACCAATGCTAATAAGTATTGACAATAATAATATAAATGAAAAAAAAAAAAAAAATAAAGAAAAGAATAATAATAATAACAATTAAGCTAAATTAAATTCTTTTAAAGCACTTTGCATAATTGTATCTTTAACAGCACAAAACACCAGTTTTATATTTTCCGTGTCTGATTTGTAGTGAAAACAAGCAGCATGTAAAGAAGAAACATCATATGGTTAACATTATTATTTAACTATATATAAAAAGGTTGAAATTGATCTAATATGGATTGGACAATTATAAATATATATATATATATATAATATAGCTCAACACTAATTTTTTGGTTTCTAATTAATTTAAATAACAACAAAATTAAATATTATTCGTACAAAGTCCAGGTCCATTAATTACATACATTTTAATAATTAGTTTAGAATTGTTTCTTCATAACACTTCATAAAACTGATGTTCAGCAAATTTTTAACTGTAATAATATATTTGTATTATTTTTTTTGTTTGTATTATTATAACATGCATGTTAAATACACAAAAAAAAAAAAAAAGAATTTACTAAATTCCACAAAGCTCATGCACAATGATTATCATTTCTGTAAAATACCTGTGGCACATGTGAAATGTGAATAAATTATTTTCTCACTATCAGGATTCAAATCCACAAACATCCTTAGAATAAACTCTCTAGCACTTATGGCGTCTCTTTGATTACCTAAGACAATTATTTGGAAAATAAAAATATGAATTTATAAATTATTATTTAAGATATAGATTTGTATTATAATATATTATAATATTGTACATATTGTATAAAATCAACAAATCAGATGTTACCACGACTATAAACGTATTTAGGTATAAAGGTGTTTAATTATTGTTGCATTTTTAAGAATTATTATATTATATAAGGTAAATATGGTAAAAATAAAATAAATAAATGAATGTGTCGCCTGAAGAATTATGATGAGTGTATTATATGACTGGTTTCAAATTCAAAATCTATCATCAGGTATATCACAGTTAAAATGTAAAACGCGACTGAATATAAAAAAAATTAAAAAAAATAATAAATAGAATTTTTTTTTTTTTTTTTTTATACATAGAATATAGAAATAAATTGGTTTAAACATTTAAAATATTATTAAAATTATTTTTCTATATTTTAAATGTGTATGTGTAATTCTTCCAAAACTGAATTAATATAGATGTTAATTTGGGTATTTAATATTTCTAAGTCTGTATTAATATCAAAACTTATATTATAGTTATTTTCTAAAACACGTTTAGCAAAATTTGAATTAGAGGAAGTCTTTTATAATTTTTAGTGTTATTTATATCTTACTTTAAAATTTTTATTTGTCTTACCTATATAAAATTCATTACAGATACATTTAAAATTATATATACCAGCATTTTCAAATGAAGGGGGATTTTGTTGTAAAGTTTTTGGTTCTATATTCATATTCATTTATTTATTTTTATATATATATTTATTCACTATATTTATTTACTAGTATTAACCATTTTGGTAATTTTAATTTATTATTTATTATATTATGTATTTCATTTAATTTTATAAAATTTGTAAGAATTAAGGTGGGGAAAAATATACTTAGTTAAATCTTGTTTTTTAAATTTAATAATTAACTGACCAATGGACCTATTTTACATTTGTTTAATTTCAAGGTTCAATAGGAAAAATTACAAACTATATAGGTATTTTACTTTTTGAATACAATAGAATTTCTATAATTTTAACTAGAGATAATTTGAAATACAAATGTCTTTGAATATGAATTTTAGTAATTAGAAAATATAGTATCTATACAAAAAAAGTTTTAGTTATGAATTATAGAGGATCTAATTTTTTAAAACTACCAAGAGGTTAAGGTGCAATAAGATAACTAAAAGGCCAATGTTAAGTAATAATAAAAACAAATATTAATTTCAATTATGATGAGCTCTAAAAAATTACAGGTTAAATGGTTTTTTTGTTTTTATTTAATATATAACCTGTAGCAACAGTAAAATGAGAATAACACATGCGATCGGGGTCTGGATTTGTTTTAAGATACATTTTCAAAATATACTGTTGGGCAGCATCATTATCTTGTTTATTACCTATTTATCAAAAAAAAATATTGATGAACTGTATAAAGTATTAATTAAATACTTATTATTTAAATAAAAACAAATTTACTTTTTTAAAACAAAAAATATTATTGAGCTATTTTATCTATTGAGTCACATAGATGGCTTAAGAGAATTTGGAATAAATCCCAACTGGAATTTAATTCTAATGAAATGTTTTGAATTATAATTACAAGTTTAACTTAGTATTTTTGTATTTGATACAAGACAAATTTCTATTTAATAAGAACAATAACATTGGAACCGAAAAAACAATTATTAATAGGATTCCAAGGTTGTCACAAATTTGAATTTATAAAATTTGCTGACTTCATATTTGTCAACTAATTTTAAAAAATAAACACTTCAAATCTCCTGGACGTTTTCAGGTTTTTTATGCTTGTAGTAACCATCAAATGATGGTTATTATTAATTATTATTCATATTTGTCTAATTACAAGTTTGATTACAGTAATACCATGATTACAAATTTGAAAAACTTAATCTATTCCCCAAACCTAAAGACTCACACAATAACTATTTTACTTCATTATTTCATAGATATTTATTTTAAATATATAAATATTGTAATAAAAAGCTAATATTATTATTAAATTAGATAAGTCTTACCCTCAAAGTCTGGAAAGTAATCTCCCAGATGAGAATACATGATTTTCTCTTCAAGAAGATCCTTTTTGTTCAAAAACAGTATTACTGATGAGTGTTGGAACCAAGGATATGTTATGATAGTTTTGAATAATGCTTTGGATTCTTCCATCCGATTCTATAAACAAATAAATACAAAAGATAAAAAGTGAATTTAGAAATAGAATAAAAGATAGAATACATACTTCGTTTTCGGATTCAAATAGAATCTGGTCGTATTCACTAAGCGCCACCAAGAATATGATGGACGTTACATTCTCAAAACAGTGGATCCATTTTCGTCTTTCTGATCTTTGGCCTCCAACATCGACCATCCTAAATTTATTTCCAAATGTATTACTTTTTAAATAAAAATAAAAATATTTCACACAAAACACTTTATTTACTGCTACCAAAAAGCAAAATAGTAATAATAGCGATCGAAAACAAATCATAATATTAATTTGTACACTGTAAAACAAATAATATTTGAAAGAAACAAAGCAATATTAATGATAGTTTAAAATAATAATAATAAAACATATATTATAGCTGAAGCATTAGAAAGAAAAAATTGAAAATTAAAGCTTATTTAAATTAAAGAAGCCACTTAAACAAAATAAAGTACCTTATTGAAAGTGACTGATCTTATGTTACAAAGGAATGGTTGTATTCTAACCACAAGACTAAGACTATTGGTGTGATAGTAACACAGGATTAGTTTAATATTAATATTAAATGATAAATATAACTGTTTTATTGATCTGTTTATATGGAGCACAATGAAATTGAGTTAGCTACTTCAGGATATTTAAGATATTGGTAATATACACGTTTTACAATGATACCTGAAGACAATACCATCAAGATCGAAAGGGTACTCGATAATGCCTGTTGTCGGAGCCCTAGCACGTAGAATGTCCTGTTCAGTAGGTAAATAATCGGGGGACTCGATTCTTGCTAAGTCACCTAAGTAACTGTGTGACATATTATTATGCATAATATATTATATTTGTTTAAATAAATTTTATTTATATATTATAAATAATCAAATAAATTTCATGGTTTTTGTATTAGTACATGGAAAAATACTAGTTGTCACTTCATTAATCTTAATTTGTTCCATATATTCATTAATGTATGATAGTGCTGTTAAATTTTGAACCTTAACACTGTCACCCTATCAAAATCTTTAGTCAATATGCATATTTGCATATTTTAGTTTTAAAGTATACATTCGAATATCATGTTTATGTTAGTGTTATATTTATTTCGCAGAGATTGTTGAAGGAATAGTATGTGATGTATAAAATGTTTGATTAGTATTATTAGCTATAAACAATAACATCCATGCATTTTAAAAATAAATTGGCAATAATGTGTAGAGAAATGTATATATTCTATAAACACATGCCCATGCAAAAACACCGATATATTTTAATTTGTATAAGTATCATGTTTTTAGTTTTACCTAAACCGAATTTCTTCTAAATCAAACGGGTATTCGATAATGCCCGTTGTGGGTACCCTTACTCTAAGTATGTCTTGTTCTGTGGGCAGATAATTTGGACTGGCCACTCTGTCTATTTCCATTAAATAACTGTAAATGAGCATCAGATTATTGAGAATTATTTTAGTATCAAAAATAATATAAACCTACTATAAGTACACAAAATATAAACAAAATATTATAGTAATATACTAGTGATTAAAAATTAGTAGGAAAGAACCTTAAATACTTAACTATTAAATCCTGCAAATCTTAATATTATTGAAACGTGACAATGCTCATTTCAATTTTACATTAACCTGTCACCATTCACATGAAATAAAAAATGTACTCCAGAAAAACACCAATAGGCATATATTAAAATTATTTCAATAATGCTGTGTCTATAAGTGTCCATTTAGTACCTTTTGATAATATATACATATATATATATATATTTGTAGTTATTTTTGTAATTATTATCATTTTTATTGTTGTTGTAATCAAGCTTAGTTTGATTATCATCTGTTATTTATGTGATGGAAAAGTTTGGCCGGAGTGTTGTTCTAAATGTAATAATTATTAATAAAATTATATATATATATATATATATTTTATTTATAAGATTTAATATTAGGTACTATAATAACTTTAAACATTTTGGTAAGATGTTAAAAAAATAAAATAAAATTATTAACATTATTATATGAATAGTAAACTCTATAATATTATAATAACTGATTTTATTATGTAAATAGGTACTTTCCTAAATCTGAAAAATAAGTATTCAAATACAATTAAACAAGTTTTTTTTAACTATTTGTTTAAAATTACGAACAATTTGTATTATGTAATAAAAAATTATGTTTTACCCAGTAAAGTAAATCAAAAACTATACGAGTGGTGACGGGTTAATAACTGCTTGACAGAATTAGTCTATCTAGAAGTGTGAAAGCTATATAGAAAGATCTATTTTACTTACTATTTAGCAGAATCTGTGAGCTGATATTCGCGCCTGCGATCATAACATTCTTGAATGCCAGAGTCTCCCCAGAGTGCTTTGATCGCTTCGACATATGGACTTTCAAAAGTCGTGACGGTTTCAAAATCTACACTTTTTATGAGCTCAGCACGTTCCTTTAAAATATTAAAAGATACATTATAATAAAAGTATATTAAAATATATCAGATATCTAAAAATGAAACATGAAACCATAAATACAAAAAAAAAAAATATACAAATTGAAATCCATTAATATTTAATTATTGCAAGTAAACATTGATAGGCAATAATTAAAAAAAAATATAAACAAGAACATAAATTAATTAATTTGTTATTATTATCTAAAGGGCTCGGATTTATATGTAAATACATATTTTTACTGTGACTTGATAAATTTATGTTAAGTGATTTTTAATGAAATTAACTACATTTGATTTTACATATTCTTACATCTCTCCAAAAATACATGTTTTTACATATTTTTCAATACATACAATTTTCCATGTTCCAAAAGTATGTAAACAAAATAATTTTATACTAGGTAAATAAAATTAATTAGAGATATCCATTGTGGAATAAATGGGATAATATTGCAAACTGAGCTCACTTCTTTGGACATTACAAATATGAAATTTGTATCCATTACTTCTATTGAAGTGGAACTTTCATTTAGTTAGTGCAAATCTGTGTTACAACCAAACAGTAGGTCATTTAACTTTAACAATTTGAACATGTATACGACATCTCATTGCTATCAGAATCAAGACGAATAAAGTTCTGTTTCATAATAGTTTGATTCAAGTGTAATAATTTTTATATGGAATTTAAAAATTTCAAAATGGTTTTTGGTTTTCTAAATTGGTTTTTTTAATACATATAAATCCGAGCACCAATTATCTACCATATTATTAATTGTATTTACAAACAATATTTATTGTGATAAATTAATGTATTATTTATGATTTTTCTTGTACAAATAAAATACATGAAAATATTCTACATAAAATTTAGGTATATTATATTTCAGGGAGAGTTAATTGTGTTTCAGTAGCTAGTGCTCTAATCGTATGGGGGAAAACGTATTTAACTTATTTTTCAAAAATTTTAATACACCTTTATTATATTTTTTTTTTTTTTATTTATTTAGACGGGGAATTGACTATTAACAAGGAACATAAAATAGTAAGTAATATACAGTTTTTAAAAATTCGGGGTATGAAAGAAAAGCCTCCCACGTGTTAGATTGAGTTTAATAATTGCAAGGGACGATATTTACTTTTTATGTTTTATAGTACTACTCTTTTTTATTTTACCAATTTGAGAACTGTGGTAGTAACTAGCTCGTTAAGCCATCTCAAATTATTTTGTGTACAATAGTATTTCTTTGGCTTATGTTTAGTTCGATACTCTTAACTTAAGAATCTTATTTAGGTAATTAATGTTTCATTAAATATATTAATAAGTAACTTAGGCAAATAATAATAATAATTTAAAAGTAAAAATAAATAGATTTCAAAAATGATTCTAGTAATATATTATGTTACATAATTCATTGAGATTCAATTCTTAAGTTCAGTCTACACCTAAGCTTGTGTTATAGATATTCTATTTCGAATATATTCTCATGAGTGCTCAAGTTTATTGACAAATCTTGCGAGCTGTATATAGTGTTTTTTATATGTAGAATCTAAAATTTTTTTGATCTTCCTAGGGGGACCAGCTTCTGATGGACAGCCCTGCTTTGTATGCAAACAAGTGAATTTTTCACATTTTCTATACGCTTAAAACTGATTTACGACACAAAATTGTAATTTTAATTATAGTGCACACGCAGGCTTTACATTAAAATAAATAAACATTGAAAGATTTAAATAGGACTGTGAAGTGCTTAATTAAAATTTGTGTACAAATAATGATAAAAAATAGTAATAGAGTACACATATACCCATAATAATAACTAGTAAGTAAAATAATTTTAACTTTCTCAATAAACTTGAAATAATTGATAATTTAACACTCACAGAACATGTTGGATCAGCGTAATGTATTTTGAGCATGTCCATGGCCCTGATCATACTTTGCATGGCCATGAAAATATTTTGGTATACTAGTTTGATGAACCCTCTTTTGTCTTCGTCGGAATAACCAGAACCATGGATAATTCGCATTTGTTTGATAAACGTGGATTTCCCCGATTCACCAGTGCCTATATATATATAAAAAAAAAAAAGAAAAAACAAAACCATTGTTAATAATAATAACTAATTAGTCATATGGTCGATGGTAAAACGGCAAACGAAAATTCGATCAAAACTATATAATTTTAATTCTTAGTATACATTATACACATAGCCAAGGGGTATAAGTGAATTTTTAAAAATGTTTAGTTCCTATTTTGTAGTAAAGAAATTAAGTGAATTATATATCGTGTGCTGCAATCTAGTATCAAATACTAGATCGCACTAAAATAGTTTTCATATGAAAATACCATAATAGATTAGAGGTAAAAAGGTATAAGCGTCCACAACAGCTGTTAACACAATTATGGCTTTTTACTGGTACTTTTTTTATATCATTCTAATACAAAAACAGTGATGATATGATAATACTATAATAATTATATTAAATACAATAACTTCAAACTTGAAATCAATAAAATGTCACTTATACTCTTATTGTGTTATAGACATACAATTTAATTTTGAAAAATAAATAAAGTATCAAAGTTGCTATATATCTATGTAATCCATCATAGGAACATTGTTAATGCGATGAGATTAAAGTCGAAATCTTAAATAGCAAATAAATAATTGATTGAAAAGTATATTATTATAGATTCTTTAATAAAATTAAGGGAATACATTTTATTTTTATGACATTATAAAATATTATATACCATGTGAACGACACCAACATACTATTTACAGCTACTACAATAGTTTTACCCATTAGATAAGGACCGTTTAGAGGATTTTAATTATTCACAAGGGTAGTTCAAAAGCAGAAAACAAATACATTAACAAATATGTCACGTAGCAGTAAGGGAAATGTTTACACGATGACCATAGTCGGAAAGGAGAGAGTTGGTCGTGCAAAACGAATACAGAGTGCTACAAAGACACTATAGTGAGCACGTATCCTCGGCGGTTAGGATATTATATTACGTATTAAAATATAACGAAATTCGAAGTATATAAATTATTATTTATATACCTACGAGTAGGTACTGTAAAATACACGAATGAAATGATTTGTCTTTATTTATAAGTAAGTCTTCCTAGTATTTTTCGAAATGTTTAAATCGAAAACATTACATAATATAAATAGGCACCCTGTCAAAGTTTTAGCTTTTTATTCTCTTAATCCAGATACATTAATTAGGTATACCGATTATTGGTCCACTAAAACTGGAAAATAATTACAAGAAATATAATTTTTTTGAAAAATAATACTTTTGAATTTAAAAATTTGAAAATAAAATAAAAATAATTTTAATCAATGATAATTTGTTGGAAAATGTCATAATCATGGGGCTGCAATAGATACTCCGTATATTCCCGTGCGAAATAAATGGACGAATCTAGTGATGGACATTTATCCGGTAAATAGGGTAAATTCATTTAAAATACAAAAACCAATTCATGGTTGCCACAATACTCCATTATGATTGTTCCCAAACTTTTCCATGGGTTTTCCAGGTTGGATTATCAGAGTAAATAAATATTTTTTATATATTCTTTTGTTAGTTTCATTAATCTTGAATTTAATACCTGTTTTCTTAAATGAAAAATTTAGTAACATGAAAACCTTTGATCTGTATTCATAAAAACAGATATGGGCTATAAGACTTTTGTTTTTTTTTCTTTTTATTGAAAAATGTTGTCTAAACTAAATCCTAAAACTATACCCACGGCACATATTATCACTATAAATGACTTTAAAATTTAAAAAGAGAAACAAACGTGTATCATGGGTTTAGGTTTCTGATCACAAGGAAACAAAATTGAAAAAAGAGCTACTGATACTGGGGATAGGTATGCGACTGTGGTAGTTGGATAGTTGAGAAGATAGAATACATAGTTATTTAATTAATATCTGTACGTAACAATAGACTAGACCACTGCTAACGAAAAACGATTTTGAGCGAAGTTCAGCTATACATGTTTTTATACCGTAATTTTCACGATTTTATAATAATTTGATCTTAAAACACGCTTATGAAAAAAAATTGCAGCATTATGCTTAACTTTTTGAACATTAAGTTCAACTTATAACTATTCCCGTATTACATTTTCAAGCAAAAACCTTAAAAATTTCAAATGCCTATAAATAATTTAAAATCGCTACAATATTTTGAAATTTTACCACGTCCACAAAAGCCTAACACAAATAAATATTCAGTGTAAATTTGAGATTTCTATAATTATTTTTAACTGAACAAAATAAATAAATCGAAAATAATGAAACTATTAATTCTGAAAACTTTCCCGGTTATTAAATAAAACTATACAAAAAAGTAAAAAAAAAAAAGACATCAAGTATATAATTTTTTTTTTTTTAAAAAATGCTATATATGAAATTCGCAGCAAAATTTCTGGTAGAAAAACTAAATTAAAGTCGTTATTGTCGTAAAATAAACAAATAAAAAAAAGGTCTCTTTGCATATTTTGATTAAGATTTTTAGTAGAAAGGCTGACTACAGACAGAAAAAAAAATACACATGATAAAACCAATACACTCATCGTTACGCTCAGTCTAGAATCTATCGGCTGATCAAGTGTCTATTTTATATTCTTCGTGGGATGCAGTAGATCATGGATATAAAACACAATAATACACGGATTATACAAAACACGCAAATACGTTTTGCTGCAATCATGGTACTTTAGCCGTTATCACATTTTCCAAAAAGTTAGAGGTCCGACATTTTATCTTTTAGTAAAATTATTTTCAAATGTTTTACACACAATACCATTAGAATTCTAATATTTTATTTCCATCCGTTTATTTATAGTTATTTTAAATTCCTTTGAATTAGGTTTTCAATGCAGTTACTTTCAGAATATTAACTTTCCAACAAATTATAACTGTTCAAATAAAATTGTAAAAAGCCAGGGTCCAAGAGGAATCCATACATCATACATATATCCTCTCTCCCAATCACACACAAGTCACTGGGAACACTGTGTAAAAGAATCCGCGTTACAGATATAACTGTCGATATTGTCTCATAATACTTATTCAACACAAATATCTATGTTTTACACGAAGTGAAACGAGTATAAAAAACATTTAGGCAGGTAGGTGTAAAGTAATATAGGTACCTAAGTAATCAGCAATATTACCTACGATATTTATTGAAGAAATAATTAAAATATTTTTGAAATCCGATATCGTATAATAGGTATATTAGGTACCAGAATTTTAATTATTGTAAACATATAATAATATAATACATTCGAGTAAAACTTTTCAATCAGAACTATAAAAACGGAGATAATGATTGTGTCTAATCGAACGTGTTCACGTGTCTCTATAATAATAATACTGTTATATATATGTGCTATATACACCCAGGTTGACTGAACTGAACTATCGTCTTTGAAAATCGTTTGTCCAAGGTCCGTTTGGTTGCAAAAATTATCTTAAAACTCGATGGAAAAATAACTGGTGTAAAAATACATTGTCTTGAAATGTAGTAAAATCTAAATGGTATTTTCTACTAAAACTGTCAATTTTATTTTCCACTTGATCCAGAAGTCGTAGGCGATATGATGAACGCAGTCCAAATTTAATTTAAAGAGAAAACCGTTACTTTATACAAAATTTCTTGGAGCATTTTTATCTAGCTGATGATCATAGGAAAGGTTATTTTTGATTTTTCTTGTAATTTCATTAATAACAATAATAACTGACACTTGTTTTTTTTTTCTTATAGTTAATTTTGGCTTACATCATAACTTATAATAGTCTGCTCAGAATCGTTGTTCGTTAGCAATAGTTTATCGTTGCACATAATTATAAATTGAATTATTTTATACAACCTCATTTCCAATAATTTCCCTCTTAAAACAACAACGGCACACTCATCAGCAGTATTAGCTTTTTCCACCGGCCCACGCATATTCAACTAATAACAGCTCGATACAGGTCGTCGAAATTTCAAACATTTGCGGTACATTTTTGACGAACGATTCCGCGTCGGATATAATATAGCAAACGTATAATTACCAAAGAAATAGAAACACTCTTAATCACATTTTAGGAACACTTAATAATAAAAAAAAATTATTGTACTTTGAATTTTTAGTATTCTAGGTTAGTAAAATCGTATTTTATAAAATTACACATTTTAATTCGTATAAGTACTTACAAGTCTGATTTGTTTTTTGGAATTTAATGTCAATATCGAAATTATTTTTATACTTATACATACCTACATAATATACAGTCACATAGTTTTTTTTTTTTTTTTTTTATATTTCTAATGTGTAGCAGCGGCGTACCCTAAGTGTGCTTTGGCTTTAATTCTCACAATTGGCCGTTTTATAAAAGCAAAAAGTATTGTTGCTATTAATCATTTTTTTTATTTATCTTGAGAAATAGCAGGATTTGCACAATGATAATTTACGATATATTCGGTTCGTGTTATTACTTTGATAATTTTTATTTACTATGCGGAAGAGAATATACCCCCCCCCGGAAAAATATTAAAACCCTCAAAAAATAATGACTGCTCTTAGCGACTTGACACAGATCTAGTATGAATACCGATTCACTCTCTCTTAATAGAAGTATATCACAACTGTATACTATTTTTTACAGGTCTTGTGTTTTTATATCCATTTATATATACGCATATTTTTGGTCCCAGTAAAGAATTCAGGGTTTAAATCAGTTTTGACTTTTTTTTTTTTTTTATAATTTCCTCTTTTCCATATTTTTTTAAATTACATAAGTGTATGTATACTTTAACACATGTTATTAATTTATGGCTATTTAGCGATTATGTCATTTGATAATTTCCAAAATTGAATTCGGTTGTACAGAATTGAATTGGCCGTTCTTCCCTGGGACCGAAGATAATAATATGTATTACGAAAAAAAAAAAACAACTACTTAATCAACAAGTACATAAATAATAAATAATGTACGAGATACGAATGGAGTAAGAGTATCGGGTCGTTTATGTTATTTTATTTTCAAAATGAACCGTTGTCGCCGCAATTTATTCGGCTTTTAGACTTTAGTAGAATGAACACACACAATTTTCGGTTATTGGCCGTATCGTTATAGAACCGTGTGATAACCAACGAATAAAAGTGAACTCGTATACAACAAATTTAGCTATACGTATCGCTTACGGATGTATCGAGTGTGTAAAGCCGTTTACTATTGTTCGACAGACGGATAGAATACATATTTCATAATAACAGCAGTAATATGTTTAACTGAAATTCGGTTTTTAACGATAGCCGGTCCGAAATATTTAAATTACGATTGAGATTACAGAAAATATCGCTAGCAAAAATACAATACAAGAAAATGCAAGATGTGATGGCGGGCGCGGAGATAACGAAAAAAGAAAACATAGAGAAACAGAGTTTTCCGATTTTAACCGAAAACCGATTCACATTTGCACGTATGCTAAATATATGACCGTGAAGAGTAAAATCGGTTATTTGAAAGTTTTCGGAAAATTGCTTTCGATCGAAATCGATTTTTATTAACTATTTTGAAAAATCGGCTCTTAATTATTAATTAACAGTAAACAGCCAGCGTTGACGAAATGTCGGGAAAACGGCGTGTAACAAAGGGCGATTATCTATCGTCGGAAAAAAAAAAAATGTCCACAATATTTGGTGCGACGTGAGCGGAAAACTCGTCACGGCGTACTCATATCACACGCGCGCAGTGGAAAACCGTATACCGGACAGACACGGGCGGAGGCGGACCAAATATATTTGAAATTTGGATAAATTATTATCGTCATCGACGGCGGCGGCAGCCGGGCGTACAAAGGGAAAGGGAAATCTCAAGTCGACGGAATTGAAAATGGCACGATATTAAGTGGCTCCGAGTTCGAGCGAATGTCATACCTCTCTTACCCGCCGCGCCGACACGGGGGCCGCCGACCCGTAAACCGCCCGTCGCGGGGCGATAGTGTTTGGGCAGCGGCGGCGGCGGCAGCAGCAGCAGCAGCAGCAGCAGCGCCGCCGCCGCGGGTACTCTGCCGGAAATTTCGAACGGTGGCGGCAGGCTCGCGTGTTTGAGCGCAATCCGGCAACGCTGTAGTAGCTGCGAGTCGTGTGCACGCCGTCGCGCGATCGATTGGTACCGGTAACGGCATTTATACTATTTCTCCTCCACACCGATCTGCGGCCGCGGCGGTACATGCACACGCGGTGGCGGGGAAGACGCACGGCCGCCGCCGCATTATTTTATACATATATATTTATATTATATACGCGTACAACACTTACAAAAAATACAACTTACGAAAATGTTTTTACCCCAACATTATCCGGGCACGGGGAACCGACTACACTACCGAAACATTCAAAACGATTTTGTCTGGAACAGTTTTTCCGGTTTCGCCTATCGCTCGCTTATTATTTCTTTCAGATACCACGCGACCCTTATAAATCCGTAAAACCGTGGCCCCCTCACGGGTTCCCCGGCCCAGTGACTATAATAAAAAGCTTCGGTTTGTCGTTGTAATTTAGTTGCGCGGTATTTTTCAGAAAATTAATTTTTGATATCAATAATGGACACAGTAGGTAAATACAGACATAGGACTTGCACACAGGGAAAGATTATATGGCGTGGTACAGCCTTAGGCCCCAGCAACACTCGCCAAAATTCAATAAACGCTCGAAACATTTTAAAAACATTATTTAAAGAATATATAATATTTCTACTCAGCCGTAATCATCACTTTTTCCCCCGGATAATCGTGGCTCTGTTTACCCGCATGCATTGGACTATTAAGTGAAATGGAAAATAAAATAAATTGCAGGTATGGCCATAAACTTATAGACAGATATATACTAGATATACTAGATATATTAAAACACGAAATTGAATCGTTTAAAACTTTAATTTTAGAAAATAATAATTAAACATATTTTGTTCGCAGTACTTACAAAAGTGTTTAAAAAAAGTATAGTGCCTACATGATCTAGGTCATTGTATTATTAAAATTTGTACTAAAATATTGAGAAACTAACCTCGAAATTAGAAAATATACATAAATTACACGATCCATTTACATACAATATATACATAATATAGGCTGTACAAGATTCAGTCAACTCTCTGTGATTGTAAGTTTGAAAAAAAAAAATCAGGTTAACTGTTTTAATTTTTTTTTTTTTTTTTGAAATGTAATATATATCGTATTGGAACCTAATGTAAAAAAATTAAAATTAAAAAAATAAATATGTTTTTCGATAAGTATCATTTAATTTTCAACGACATTTTCGAGTATATTATATAATAGCGTGCCATTTGAAAATATGATTTGCACAAGTCGTTAATTTTTGACAAGTCAATCTATGATACTCGAATAGTTGATATAAAACAGTACTAATGACTTGTTTCATCATTCATACTTCATGAACTAAATCGAATAAACGAATACAGTTAAATCTATTAATGCGAATACTTAAAATATAAATCACAGGGTCTCTAAATACATCACGCTATACAAACATCGAATAAAATAGGTGCGCGATAGGCAACAACAGTGCAACACGCTCTAAAATATATTAGATTCTGAACATAGCGAGAACAATGTATTGGTTTTACTGAGATGTGTTTTTTTTCGCACCTGCCAACAACTTTTCTACTAGAAATCCTGTTCCAATGAACCACTGTATAGGAATTTTTTTGTAGTTTTCTTTATCTAATTGAGTCGGTGCGTTGAGGTAATTTTGATTTATTTTTCTTAGTAAATGGGAAAAACTGGCAATATTTTGTAAACCTGTTATTGACTTCTGAAATACCTTGGTAATAATGGGAGATAAATACGAAAAATTAACCCGGTTCAGAATTATTTTTCGCTGCGTACAAATTACTCTATATTACTCTTCCTTTCAAACTTTCCACCTAAAACAGTGACTTGCCTATCAGCAGTATCAGCCTTTTTAAATATTATATTTTGAATGTACGTATAGTATGGAGTATTATTATCGAGTGTGTGAACAATTCTGTTTAAAATAGTTTATTGGTTTTTAATTATATCGAACGAAATGTATAACAAATTTTTGAACAGTAGCCGTAGGTAAGGTTAGGAACATTCGTGTAAATTTCATGCGGGCAAACGCCAACCTAACAATCGAGGAGTTTTACACGCAAAAATAGAAAACAATTAACAAATAAACGAATCTTGATTGAGTGTCTAATTGTATTATGAAGATATTACATGTATAACAATATGAAAGTAACAATAATAATTATTTGTAATTTGTATTATTATACGTTTTACCAACACATTGTAACCGCTGCGAGACAATAGAAATCTGTTCAGTGACACGCTTTAAAACGTTTTTTTCCCAAAAACCATGGTACAAAATCATATTTTAGGGAATATAAAACATAATAATAATACTTAAGTGTTTCTACACCAAAAAAGTCTGACAGAATTAAAATTGTATTTTCAAGACAGCCGGCGTAACTAAGGAGAGGAGTGGGTTAGTCCATGTGAATATGTGTACAGGTTTATATAATATAGCCCTCCTACAGGAACGCTTTGAAAAATAAAGTAAAATTTAAGAAATATTAATTTTGATTGCCAAGAGGTCAAGTATGGATTTCTCCAAAGGGATAATCCTTAGACTTAAAACAATTTAGAATAGACACTAAAAAATTAAAATGTTTGTTTAAAATTTAAACATTTTAAATTAATACTGAATGAAGTGTTTTTTGTTAAAAAATACATCACTCGTTCTACTCAGAATCTAAAATGAATAGTCACGCTTTTGTTTTCTAATGGTATTTAGGGCTATCTCTCCTTCTCGAATTTTTGTGCCATCGGGGCCAAGGAATCTACTAATCGCTCCCATTTTCCTGGATTCAAATAATGAATATAGTGAACTGAAAATCTTAGTTACGTCTAAATTTAACGTCGTTAAATTATTATAACTAGCCCATCATTGAATTTCAATAGCGAATAATAATAGAGAGCGATAACAACAATATAATATAATTTTATAGTAAAGCACAATCATATAATATAGATAATATAAGTTTGTTTATTAGTTCTAAAAAATGTTATTTACATTAGGCGTGTTTTGACGTTGTAAACAGTTCAGTGATTAATAAGTTTACGGTTATAAATTCTGGTTATTGAAAAACTAAAAAATAACATTTTTGTAAATTTAGTTACTGAAATATTTGATAACACTATTATGATCGAAAAACTATAATCATTAATACCTATTTATTTTTCATATTACATAATATAGTTTATTTTAACTATGAGTTTTCCAAAAAAAAAAAAAAATAAATAAATAAATATCTATATAATAGAATCTGATAATGTTGATAATAATATTATCATGGTCATGATGAAACCTAAACGTCATCTAAACAATCTTACGTCTAGTTCAGTAATTATTCGGAAGCTAATATCGAAAAATGGATCATAATAAAATACAATGTACATAATTTCCACGTTAAATACTGTATGACCCAAGGAACATTTTAGAATTAACTTGATGTTGTACAAAAATGTTCAGCATAATTTTACCAGCAAAATTACTGTGTTGATAAAATCAACAAAAAATAGTGTTTTTTATTTTAACTATAACTATTATACACTATTAAACAAAACGACTATACGGGTGTCGTGTATTTGATTAAATTGAAAATGCATATTATTAATCTTAACACACGTGTGTATTTTTTAATGTAATTAGTAACCGAACATTAGTAAACCATGTACTATCAACTCAAAATGAACGGTTACAAAAAAGCACTGGTGTTTACTAGAAAGAGTAACCGGGTTACAGTAACTAACTGATAAAAAAATGTCATCAGTAAACAATTTAATATTTACTCACGGTTACAAGACGCCTATTGAACAATAATTAATACTATAATTAATAACAATCTAATATAACTAATACAGTCAAATGCTAAATTTACAAGTGTTTGGTTAAATGAAAATTATAAATTATATGTTCATGAATTAAAAAATTTATGTATATAAAATGATTGTGTATTAACAAATCAGTTTACGTTTAAATAATATATCGTTCATTTTTTAAATGAACATAAAAAAAATAAAATAAATAAAAACATATTGCTAGTTAATTATTGTAATACGTTATATTCATAGACGTTATATCAATATTATAGTAAAACTATACATTTTCTTCACATTCGGTCTTTGATATTATTAGAATTTCCGAAGAGTAGAAAATTGTGACTAAATAAAATATATAATATAAACTTAATATATATTATTATATTTCAAATTTAGTTATGATAATAATATTAATAACTGCACTTACAAATGGATTATACGCCACGGTAGAATTTTTTTTTTTATTACGATTATTATATTTATTGTATAAACATTACAATTAAAATGTTATTTCAATATAAACTATATTATTATGGTGAATAATTGCAACGTGTACCTAATTGATAAAATCGTATACTAATACAATATAATTGTATAGTATAAATGTCCAGAGCTCTTTGTTTTATACGACTGTACTACAATATCAAAAATTGAAAAATTGTATGCATGGTTTTCACCGTTATTATCTACAATAATTCTCGAGTAAGGTTTATGAGGTTCCCATTAAATATGGCCCCGTTATACGTAGAGTAGAGAAATACTTGATAACAATTATTGTTAAAACATTATTTATATTAGGTTAGGTTAGGACAATATAATAGGTATGGCGGCGTACGGCGAACAACGTGATCGTTACCAAAGCGACAAACAGAAAAAACCGTAAGCCATTCAAAGGCCAAATGACGAGCTTTCTCTATAGAAACGGGGAACAAGATTTGCGGACGAAAAAGAATCTACAAAATTATTATAACGTGCAAACGTTAACACTCGCGATTTAATCGACATCCAAGTTTAACGACTTCGAAACATAAAAATCTTATCCTTACTCCAAACCTGATACTGCTCCAAGAAAGTTAATATTCCAAATGTTAACCTAAAATATTTAGTGGTTGAAAAACCGTATAGATCGATTTTTAAGTTGAAAAATCGATAATCTTGTCTCTCGTTGTTTATTGGTCGCTCATCGCCATTACACTACTGATACTAAATAAAATTGTTAACAGATGGTATTTTTTTTTTAAATCCTATTTCTTATCACTCTGGAAAATGTAATATTAGCCTGTTATTTCCCCGCAGTGACATGGTTAAAGAAAGGCAAAAAATTCACGCAAATAAAAACATTTTTCCCCTTTGACTTACTCGACGTGTTTTGCAGTAAAAATCGAGAATTATTTTCGACAAAGTTTCAATTTGAGCTTACGAATAGAGGTGGCCGAAAGCCCCAGAGGAAGCGATATTGGAATTTTAAGATTATATTATATTTTACAAATAGGATAGGTGTAGGTTAGGTCCTTAACCAATGAATTTAAATAACACACTCAGGCATTTATTTGTTTCCCTGCAACTTTAAGTCCAGTCGAACGGACGAATTGTCTTGATCCATCATGTGTAGATGACTGCCAACTAGTTCGTGACTTGCATTTAATATTTTCATGGAAGAACCACGCGATTGGCTATGCAGTGAGGTTTTCTCTGATTTAAATAGCGTTTATTTATGTGCATCGTTTTGGCCTTGTTCATAATGTTGTACCATTATGTGTTTTTTAAATGTATTATATTTTATTACTATAAAGAAGAATCTGTATCAAAATAAATGACTATTACTACTTAGGTAATAAACGAGGGCATGTTAACAAAAATACACGTTTTCTCTATTGCTGTGTGTGCATCTAGACTTGTAAGGAACGATGATCATGTATTATGTTACATATGTATACCAATAATCAAAACAAACCATTTTCCCCCCCGGGGTTCTATCGTTTATTTCTAGTCTGAGAACACCTTCATATGCGCAAACAAGTTTACTCATTTAGTCATAAGAGAACATGTAGCTTTAAAATAGCAATAAAGAAGATATTTACCTTTATAATATACGCAAAATGTATACATGTTATTTTTGAGAGGTTGTACAAAAAAAGACGGAAAAATAATTAAAAAACATTCAAGACCCAAAAGGCAAAAAATGGACTAAATATGCATAAAAAAATTACAAATTCGGTTTTATCAAATCATGAAACAAATTCCTTTTAATCTGGCTCATTTTTGGAGCTACGTAAACAAATGCAAATTTAATGCTAGAAATCATTTGCCCCAGTCGTGTGATTATCCATGTACAACATATTAACCATATTATATAGAATATACTAACATTAAAACAGTGAGGTATTAGGTATTATTATAACTGAACAGAGGTTTGAGGTAAATCCCGGTAGATGGGGTGGAGATGGAGAAAGGGTTTATACATCCATGGGCATTTAATTCGCCAAGATCAATGAAATTCAAGTACAGATAGTTATATAATTAAACAATGTAAGTATACCTATACAATTAGGTAAGTACAGTAGTACGATTATTTTACCGAAATACTTTTCGATTCAAACATAATATACACACTCACACTCAGCGAACAAATCGAAATATACTTTATCCCCATTAAAAATGCACATCTGGAAACTATTGAAATAATTCTAGACGATAAACTCTGTTCCTTTACGACCAAGTCTACGCGAACTAACTCGTAAAATGGCATAAATTAAACATAATTTACTAAAGCATGTTAAAAAAAAAAAACCCAAGAGCTTAAATGTTCTTTGTTAAACATTTGCATAATATATGTTCTATATTTCGTAGTGTGAGATTTTTATAAGCATGAATTTTTATCTTTAAAACTTGTATTTTTTTAGAGCTTTGTGACACTATGCAATTTGTATTTCGTTTGAGGGGGTTGTAGCAGAACGGGAATGAAAGCTTATCCTACCGACTACTATCCCACACTATCAGGTAACTGTCCTGTCGTTTGTTCATTTATACGCGAATAAAACTAGTGTCTGTATGATAATATTTCAGTACAGTTATGGAAAATCAGCAGTGTGAACCTTCAATTGAATGTTTCGTTATCACGTCCTGCCGGTTTACTTCACGCATGAATTGTCCTACTTCATTTGCGGTTCGCCGCAATAGTGTGGTGCCTCTAATTAGAAACTATACGTTCCGTTATAGATGCGTTGTCTTTCGTTGTCAATTTGCCGTACTCGCCCAACGGGATGGAAAACGCATAGTGAGGTCCTTTAGGTAGAATGGGTAGATAATATACAGTGTGTAATATCGTTAGTTGTAATCACTGATATTTTGCACATATTAAATATATTTTAATTTTGTGTTTTAGTGTGCCTGACAAACTATGTTACACACTTATTAAACTATTATTTGTATGTCATTTAATTTTGTGCATACGCATGAAAACTTTTTATTTATTTAATGGAAACTCCCCCCCCCCTTTTTTTTAGTAATTATTTTTACTCTTATTTTTTCTTTTAAAATTAAATTTTAACGGTCAAACCAACTCTTGTTAAACAAATAGTCGAGTTATGGTTATTTAAATGTTTGACATTATTTATTGATATTTTTTAATTATTCATCAATTTGATCAATTTTCTTTTTACACTTCATGATATCTTCTAGTGCTTTTTAAATAGCCATATTGAGAGGGATATTGATTATCTTCTTCCCCAAATACAACAAATATCAAACATTTAAAAATCAATAATTTGGCTATTTTTTAATATAGAAAATTGGCTTGGCCATTCAAATTCGCGGAAAAAAATTGCTCCCCCCCCCAAAAAGAGGGGAGTTGCTATTAAAAAAAAAAATGTTTATGCGCATGCTCGAAATTGACATAAAAAAAATTAGTAATTTGATGTATTATTTTAGATTTTATATATACCTATTCTCTCCAAAGGAAATACGGTTTTAATTACTGTAGTAGTCAAAAGTAAGAAGATATACCGATTGTGATATCTTGGAAAGTTTTCGTTTTCTTCGGGGATTTAAAAAAAAGCAGCTCTAAATTATTACACATTACCATTATTTTCGGAAGTGAAATAAATATAACTACGCATGATTTAAAAAAATATGACAAACTAAGTTACAAGCAGAGAAGCTCTTTTTTTTTAAAAAAAATAGAATCCAGTTTTATTGCAATTTTAGTTTATTCTTATTATACAGAATATAGATTTACTTACTTCAAGAGAATCCCGATTTGTTCAATTTTTTAACAGCGGTAAAATTTGTGGGGATTAAGAAAAACTATGGTTGAGTTTTTTTTCTCGAAAGTTTTGGTTTTTGAACAAGGTGTTTCTCAAATAGCTGCAGATTCAAATTGGTTTTTTTGAACTTGGAATTTTATTCTTATTGTGTTGGATCGGGTACAACAAAATAGGTTTCTATACAATTCTCAAACATCGGACCACTGCAGGGTATACTTGTAATCAAATTGATTTTCAAAACCCGGCAAAAATATTAAATTAATAAGATAAGTTATCAATAAAGTTTTACAGCCGATTTTGAGTAAATCGAACGATGACAATACTTTGAACATATTCGATTCTATAGATTTTCGTAAAATATCATAGGTATTTTAATAAATACGTTATTATTATAAGATTAATGAGTCCGATTTTGACCGTCAATAAATTTACATAAGTGTCTATCACAATATAATATATATTATTATTATATTATATATGAGCGCTTATATAATGATTTGTATTTGCAATCGTTGGTCAAATCTATTGATACTCTCACGTTTTATTTAAACACGCGTGATATGACTTACAGAAGAAGTCAATTCGCCGTACGCAGCTCGATTCTAATAAAAAAAAAGTATATAAAAAGAACCGGCACGATTAAAAATATTATTGCTCTGAAAATTCTAAATATTTTTATATATTATACAATATCACTCACTAACGGAAAATTATAGCAATAATTTAATATAATATATTAATTAAAGAAAACATTATTAAGGGGTTAATTTGCGAGACATTTTTATACAACAATCAATATAATATACTTGTATATATACCTATTCAAAATTACATATTCATAAGCCATCATGATTCGTGATTAATAATTTGAAATTTGTCCTTAACAGATATTACGTAAACAGAATTGCGATTTTTTTTTTAAAATTTTTCTTTTTTTATAGCTAACATACAACAAAATCCCATGTGGATATGAAAATCGTGGCCTTGCAACTTTGCAAGACACGTACCTAATCGTGATGCGTTTGATTTAACCATAAGTGAAATCCAATTATAGGTACCTACTAATACTAGGAAAACATTATAGTAAGTATCGAGGTTATTATACTAAGCCCTGTGTATGCAGACAAAATGTCAAGGACGTTAATAAAGGCGGCTTTAAATAAAAATACATGCCCATTCTACCGGAAAATACCTGCAGGGATCGAGTTTCCTTCCCAAGGGTTTTAATTTTATCAATCGACATTGATATGATACTGTTATATTCACTACACCTACTATACCAGGGTTTAGAGGACCATTGGGTCACCAATTATTTTGTGATTAGGTCATCCTAACACGTTAAAAATTAAATAAAAAACATCCTAGGATAATGGGGTAGGGTGCAGTCCTTGTTATAGATAATTTAATGTATATCTGTAAGCAACGATAAGCCATTGCTAACGAAAAAACAATTCTGAGCGCAGTTCAGTTGATAATGATGCTTTGTCAACAAAATATATGTCATATTATGGTAAAATAATTATAGGCATTATATATTTTCTTCAATAATATTTGTTTAATATTTTACAGATTTTCGCGTTTTCCTCACTTGTTGGAGAAAACTCTAAGGAAAATCGAAAAATTACTTATCTAAAGTACCTCCTCAGTCAGATTTCATTTTAGAAAAAGTGCTATCATTGTAAATCGGAGCAAGATTTTGAGCAGAAAAGTTAACACAATAAATTGAGGGGTATTTGATTAAAATAGTCCGAGTGAGCGATAGCTTGAGTCTCTAGGTACACCCAAAATGCATTTGTTTTTCTTTGTTTAGGTAAAAAAGAAACACGGGTTCGAACTTGCATACCCTAGGATAATAATAGGTATTTATAACCACATTCATTTACGACAAACATACTTTAAAGAAGACAATATTTAGTTATTTAACATAACATAATATCAAAAAAAAAAAAAAAAAAACACTACATTAAATTCAAATTTTCTTTTTTTGACCACAAAGCAAGACTCTTAATGAACCTCCTGTTAAGTCTAACAATTTTATTACAGAGTACATAAGGAATAAAAATTACGTACCAAACTTGCAAAATTAAAATGTCAATAAACAGCTCAAAAATAGTTAAATTTTTTGAAAATTTTACCACGTCTAAAAAAGACAAATATATTATAATTTTTATAAAAAGCTTAAACATGGAAATAATTTTTCGAAAATTTTACCATGTTTAGAAAAGACAAATATAAGTTTTATATCCAACTTTCAAGTCTTTACGAATATTTTTAACTGAATTACAACAAATAATAAAATTGAAATATAGTAAAAGCATAATTTTCGTAAATTTCCCGTTTTTCTTAAGTTTTATCCTAAGTTTTCTCAGATATTATGAAAACCACTTGAAAAATCAAAAAATGCCCTTCTAAAAGTACGATCTGGACAATATTTCTTATCAGAAATGGTGTCACGCGTATGTATCTGAGCCAGATTTCTGGTAGAATTTTTGTAGACAGTATATATATATAAAAAAAAAAACCATCTTAGTAAAACTAATTCGCTACACTCAGAATCTAAAAATAATGGTTTTAACATAAAATACGAAAAGCCTACACAAACAAGGTATAAACTTAACCCTTCACTGAATGATTTTTATCTAATAACGTAGTTCCTCCACTATTAAATTTTAACTTTATTTGAAAAAAGATCACGTGAAAAAGTGGGTAAATATCTCGGCTCGCATGTACACAAATGAATCGCTATACTACACGAACCAGCCAAAGATTAAAAATAATTTTTAATTTCATAATCTTCACGAAAAGCAATTTGTTTGTAATCAAGAAAGTGTAACTAAATAATACTTAAGAATCAGAATAATAACTAAATATATTAATATCAAATATACGATTACGTCGATAACTGAAAAGAAATATATAGGTACGTGTGTTAGATATTGTATATAAAATAAAAATAAAAATAATATCCAATAAATTATTCAGAAAATCATTATTTGTACCTGAATAAAGCCGCGGTCACACGGTGACGGTCGATATCACTAGTCGTACTATACACTAAAATACGGTGTGATTAATACTATTATGATAATATTATGGTGTGTACTCGCAAAACTTATCTTGGTGCGGACAATATCGTTTTATATTTTTCACTATTACACGATAGCGGAAACTAAGCGCCAAATTTTGAATACATTCATAAAAAGCGTTTACAATATATTCACGCGAATAATGATTAATTTCACTCATTCCGATAACATTTTTAATTAATTAATAATAATAATAATAAATAAAGACTACGGTATTATTGTCACGTATAGTATCACACGGTGTGAACACGTCATAATAATAGTGAATAGTGATAATAAATTATTGCGAAGGCGATGTTATACTTTCGCGGTATCAACTAACATCATCATCGTGTGACCACGGCTTTAATACAAAATGTATTAATATTGTTACCCGAAAGAAAACACCCGCGAATGCAGATCGTGATCTCGATATCCAAAATAGCCACGCATTAGGATAAGTTCTGGGATAAATCGATATAATAATTTATTGTACTTTGGTACCGTATATTATTACTGAACGCATTAAAAACTATAGACAGAGGAAATTAAATCATTAAACTTTGAACTACGCCTCCGCAATTACGGTGATAAGAGTCCAATTATTCCTGTATCTAGACAACACATTTCGAAGGTTAGTTTACGGCTCAGGATAACCCTATTAATAGTTGTATAACATTATAATATTACATTTTATACTTATTATTATGTCAATATGAATCCATTCAATACCATTGTAAAATTATGATTTCATTAATTTATCTAATAAATCAGTAAAACAATCGAAATTTTACAGTTTTTACAGGCATAAATAAATTTCCAAAAATTTACCATGGTGCATTTTGAATTTGATCTTCATTTAGAACAATTAGGGATTACGATTTGTTTTTTTTTACCTAACCCGATTGTTTTTTTTTTTGGCTAAAATAAACTATACCTCGATATGTTTAGTGGGCATTAATAATCATTATCAATCAAATCATCTATATGTACATACATTTGATTAAAGTTAAATCAAAAGTTTATACCAGTGCTCGAATTGGAAAAGTAAAACAGGAGACCATAAGACTTTAAAAAAAAAAATTTACCGCCTCTTGTAATTATTGAGCTCAGACAAAACCGTGGGGGACTTTGTCATCCACACCCCCTTTATACTAGTTATTAAACATAATTCAACAGTTAATGTTTTACAGAAAAAAGTAAAAAACACTACTGTAGCTAAGTTGTTTTTCCGGTTGTTCCTTAGATAAATAGGTTATTCAAATTTCATAAGATAGTCAAATTTGCTATGAAATACTTAATTTTTTCAAAAAATGATTTATATAAAAACTTATTGGAATCATATATTCTAAAATGTTAAATTATTCTTATTTTTAGAGGTGAAACGATTACCTACTTAAGATATTCCAATGGCACCAATATTAAAAGCTCCATAAATAGATAGGAGCATTGGATGAAATTAATTTTTGTGTTGAAATTATTGATTTCCATCAACCCGTTGACGAAATATTCCTCTTTGAAGTATAGGCAGAGTTGTAGAAACACTATTCAACCGACACGCGGCGTACCCCCATTCAAATGATCCTCTACTACTACCACCCAAACTTAAAAGTGAAAAATCTCGTCTACGGGTTGACGGAAATCTAAAATTAACACCATTATGAATTCAAACTAATATTTAATCAATTTATGGAATTTTTAATACAGATTGCTCCACATGAAAATCAAAAGTAGGCAGTCCTTTTGCCCTCAAAAATAAGGGCAATAGAACATTTTAAAATATATGATTACAAACAGTTTTTCTTTTACATAAAAACCTAAATTTTTTTTTTAAAAAATAAGTATTTTATGGAAAATTTGAATTATTTTTGATTCTATGTGTATTTTCTTTTCACATTTTTTTTTTATCTGTAAACAACTTTTGTACCGAAAATTATGTTTTAGTTGGTGTAATGAGTTTATTTTTTAATTTTCCTAACAAGCATTCTTAATAATGGAGAAAACCCGAGCAAATGTAATATTTATACAATAACGGTTTCTTTTACATTCGATTTAGTTGTTTTGGTGTAGTTCAGTGAAAAATAATCGTAGAAGCCAGAAATTTCACCGAATACTTTTAATAATCTCTTATATATAGGTATATTATAGCTCTTTCCAGACAAGGTACAGTTTTAAAAATATTCTGAATATTTCTTTGTGGCTTATACCCATTTGAAATTGTGAAGGTTTTAAGATTTTTATTTGGTTTTATGAGATTTCAATTTTTTTTTGCACAGTGAAAATATCGAAAATGTAATCGATTTATTGTTAAACAGTTTATTATGAATTGCAGTTAGTGGTAAAAAAAAAGTTGAGAGTAGTGTAGTAATCATTTTTTTTTTTTTATTATTATTTAATGTTCAAAGTTTAATGAAAATGCAATTTAATAAAACTTAAATAAAAAATATGTACCATGTGTTACATTTCAAACAAATACCTAGTAGAGATAAGCTAAAATGTCTGTAAAATTAACTGATGTACGGATTCTACTTATGTTCCCTCTTCCCAAATTTGAGCACTGGATAAGACCCCAGATAAAACTTAATTACTAAACCGGTCTTTTCAACTTAAATCATAATTATATGTAATTATAACTAGGTATTTAATAATATGATAAATCATACTAATCTTTGTTGGATATTGGTTAATTAACAATTAATATTCTTGTTTAATCATGATATAGGTATCTACAATTACAATGTTAGATTCAAATTTTAATAATTATTGACATGTAAAATTATATTTTATAATACAGATTTTTTAATTATATAGTTTACTGTGACATTTATAGATTACCTACAAAAAATTGTTGAACTTTTTTTTTACAAATAAAATGAATACAAAATAAGAAAAATAATAACAAGGTATTATTTACAAACAAATTATATTATCAGAATGATTATAGCTAATTATAATTTTATTAGTACTTATGTATTATTTTTAGATTCTGAGTAGAGTAATCAAAATCTAATTGCTTCACAACCTAATATTATTATTACATTTTTTTTTTTTTTGCACACTTGGACAGTAAACATTTTTGTAAATAGGTAGGTATTTCAAGAGTTTATTCAAATAAATAATTTGTACTACTGAATTATATAAAAAACCTTTCCCCCTTTTAAATGCGTTAATTCAATAGGTACTTCCTATTTTAAAAAAATATTAAAATATTAAAAGTAAATATATACCAGAACCTACTTACATTATTTGCTTTATGGGTATACTTAATAGTTCAACAAAATAATAATTGATAATTAGGTAGGTATCTACTTATAGGATTCTCACAACTATTATAAATAAGTAGGTAACTAGTATTTATAAATTACCTATTTTACATAATTTTTGATTTTCAAATAACTAACTTTAATTTTAAATCAAATTATTTCTTTGATTTTTTTTTTTAATATTTTGATATATGTACATACATACATACATACATATAATGTTAAACTAATATGAATGTATTCTTTCTTGGTTACCCTACACTCACACTACTTTGCATAATACATTCATTTATAATCCTTTACTAATTTGGTTACTCTGCATATCTAGATACATTTTCATCTGCTATTTCTATTTTTTTTTTTTATTCAACAATACCCTACACTTAGACCCACATTTAATATTAGATTTATATGAATTAAAATAAGAAAGAGTTATTTTTGAAATTATAAAATAATTTATTTTTTTAACAGTGAGAAATGTGGACCATCTTTATGCAATTTTATTTATGTCACTAATAAAAGTAATCAGTGGCCATTCAACAGCACACACAGAGGTGAGAAAATATTAAAAATCCAAACAATTTATTTAAATATCAAATAATTACATTGAAAGTTAAATAAAATAGAAATCTTCATGGAATTATTAATTAGGAAGTACCATACAAAAAATATACAAAAAATAATAGTTGAATATCTATTCATATTGAATACAACTTTTTACTAATCCGTTCATCCAATGTTATTATAAAATATTTTACCTATCTCATAGGTAGGTACTTACCTAATTGTATATTTAGGACAAGTGATCTACTATTACATTTTTATTAGCCATTTTTAGTTTATATCAAATAAAAACACCATGTGCAAGTGATCATAAATATTCAAGAAAAGAACTGTGATAGTTAAAACACATTTGATTAATACCAAAATTTAAAAATTCCTTTGTTTAAATTTAAATGATCTTACTTGATGCATACAAATAACTCCATGATATTCTGATTGGGGTTTAATTTAAAATGAAGAAAAATAAACTATCACTACTTATAATGATAATAAATAATAATATTTAGCATTGGCACCCTTTGGTAATCATTCCAAAATATGTATTTTTTTAAACCATCAATTATGTATCAATCAATTATATTATCATTAATTTTTAAACAATCAATTCCATAATCATTTCAATTTAAATAAATCTGTCAAATGTTGAAATTCTAATACTTAACAAAAATAATTTAAAAAATTAAAACAAAAAATACAATATGCATAATACATAAACACATAAGTGCCTACCTAAGATCTAAGTTAAAACAATTAGGTTAAGTACTGAAAATAAACAATATTTCTTAAAAAAAATTTTGTTAAAAAAAAAAACTAAGTAGTTATTGAATTATAAATATAAAAACAAAATTTCTATAGTGTAAGTAGGTGAAAATAATAAATAGATAATTATGGTAAGTAACATTCTTCTAGAATAATCAGGGATGCCCATAATTTCATTGCCAACATTATTATTAAGTATTTCTTCTCTTTCACCAACTATTTGTCATAAATTCGATCCCCACATCGTCCTCACATACACCCGCCATCTTCATATCATACTCAATCGCACCCAGCCACCTTTTTTCCAGTCTTTCTTTCTCCTCATGATATGTCCAAATCATTACAGTTTATTTTTTCTCATTATGTCTACTGTCAAAATCACACCTCTTATGTACTTATTCCTTATCATATCTTTTATTGTCACTCCACTCATCCACCTAAGCACTATGATTTCTGCTACAGTCATTTTATGTTTTATTTTTTTCAGTCAACTGCCTAATACTGCAAACCAAACAACATAGCCAGTCTCACCACACTCTTGTAGAACTTACCTTGAAGTCTCGTTTAAATTCTCTAGTTACATAAAACACTTGATGCTTTTCTCTACTTAATCCAACCACACTTAATCCTATGCTTCACTTCCTCATCAAAGCTACCATTCTTTTAAACAAAAGATTCTAGTTACCTACTTAAAGCTCTCAACCTTCACTGCTTATTGTCATTAGGTGTCTTGTCCTGTTCCTTTAACTCACACTCTATATATTCTGTTTTACTTCTACTTATACTTACTTCTGTTCTTTAAGTGCTATTTTCCATTCCTCAAGCCTATTGTTTGGAATAGACTATTCAAATTGATAACACTCTAAATGTGTTCATACTATAAGATTATAACATACAAAAAGTTTTTAAACATAACATTTAATTTATAGAAATCATAGGTAAATAAATATTTGTTTAAATAATAATTAAATTTGTTTGTACCTAGAAGGTACAACTCAATAATATATAGCAATCAGAACAAACGAAAAACAGGTTGTCAACTGATCAAACGGGTTGGAAAATACTGTGTGGGGGTGTACTAATGGTGAGAAGACTTTTTTATAATGTTTTATTGACCGGTTCAAAGATACTAATATACTTACAATTTATCAGGATAGGAAAATATTAAACATAAAAATGTTGTTTTTTTCTTTACCTAGATGCATTATCTGGAGATTTATGTATTAAACTAATGTGTGTCTATCTACAACAATAGTTTGGATTGATTTACAGCGCAAGTGCAGTATTAAAATTAAATGTATATTCCTAATCAATTAGGCATACTAGCTACTGTTAAATATTTCAAATTATGAACATATAGCTAATGTTCTTATTGAAAAATCATAATTGGTTTTTTAAAATTTTGAATAGGTAATATATACGCACAATGAAGTCAAATTGAAAGCTACTATGAAATAAGAATAATATTATTACCATATAACATTATCAAATATAGTTGACTGTGTTAGATAACAAGAATCTTGGATTATTGGATTATGATCATGGATTATTAATTTACCTAATTTTAAATTAAATGATCTGAAAAATTTGTAATTACAATTACATAGGTACATGTATGTGTTATTTTATTGGCCTCACCTATTGAGAATATTAGAATAGATAATACAAATTTTGATAATGTCCTGAATACTAATAGAAACCATAGTTTGGTAATAATTAACTATAAATCTGCATAGAAACAAACACAAAGTATTATGATGAAGATAAACATAAAATCTTTCAAGTGAAACAAAAATAAATGTAAACAATATCAGTATACCTATTGACCGAGCTATAGGTAAGCTATAAAAATAGATTAAAAGTTCAATCAATTATTTTTATTTTGGGTAAGTACCCAATCTAAATATTATATTTTTAAATTTGTTAAATACAATATAATATGTACCATCTGAAATAAAATTAGTACCTAGAACCAACCTATATGCTAGATAAATAACTGTTACAATAATTAGTTTGAAAAACATTCACATAATCTAAAATTATAGAATGCTATAGACTAATGAGAACATTGTTTTTTTCTTTGTATTTTTTATAATATCTGTGAGCAAACATGTATTTCTTTAAATTGTTGTTTTATTGTATCAATTTTCTCCAAAGAAACACTTTTTAGATATAAATACCTAAAATTATAAAAAAAAAAATACCAATTTGTTAAGTGTTACATTTTTCAGTAGTGGCCACTTTGAGTGCTTAATAGTGAAAAAATCAACCTTCTGAAAATTAACAGCGAAATTATTGAAATTTTTAAACAATTTACTTGCAATTTAAATGGGTAAATATCTACTTACCTACCTAACTTAATATTATTAATTTTAATAATAGATATTTATACATTTTCTATTTTAGTAGTATTGTGGAGTTTTTATAATTATCATCATGGAATTAATGACTTATTTATAAAATGTTATTTATTCAGTTACCCAATTGTTTAATGCCAATAATAATATGTGTGACTATAATGTAAATTAAGTTAAATGAAACCATACAGAGGAAAAAATAATACTTAATATATATAATATAGGTAGATACATATTATATACTAACTTTAACTGAGAATTTAAAACTATTCTATACTATCCCCACCAGTGAAAATTAATTTAATATCTTTAATATAGATAGTTTGAAATACTGCACGTATACCTAACGTCTTCGCATATAAAGATATGGTAATACTATCTATATTATAACCTCAATTATAACCAATATAATCTCTATGGTCCTTAAAAAGTAAAACATATTGACAAAAATGTTTGTGGGGGTATTAGATTTGTTTCAAAGAAAAGGAAAAATGCATGTAAGTACCTATAAAGTGTGTGTATATTGTAAATGACAATACCACTTACAGCACTACTGTTACTATAATATGCAACTATCTACTTAGGTGTGTCGGTTACTCATTTTAGTAGGCACCAATTATAAAGACATACATCTTATAATTGTTTAAACGATTCTAAGAATTAAATTTATACATAGGTAGGCACTTAAGATGCTTTTAAAATTTATAGTACTCATGTCGTATGCTACCAACCTATTAATTTGTCGGCTACCAGAAAACAAGATTTAAAAATACAATTTTCATTACCTATATTTTCAAATATAAAATATATTAATGAAATTAATCTGATAAGGACCCATCATTTTTTCATATCAATACTAGACATATAATACCTTAAATGATTTAGGAGGATGTATAAGTTATCGTCATAAAACAATCAAACATTCTGAGTTTTTCATTGGTCCCTTTCATAAGGCCACAATTAAAAACAATAATATGCATACTCGTATGTATATGAAGACATGTTAAACCTTAGTACAGAATAAAAACTTGAGGAGGAACAAATTTGTTACAATTTCAACTGTGAGAGGAATAGTGATAGACTCTGTTAATACAGTATCTACATAACAATTTATTCCAAGTTATCTGGAACGAAATAAAACAATACATTTATAACTTAAAAGAAAACTTTAAAATACTTGACAATGATTGGTAGGTAGTATACATAAAATGTACCAGTTTTTAGAAAGTAGCATTTACAGTAGGTAACATATAACACAAGTTCTTGTTTAAAGATTAGTATCTGATATTGATCAAGGTTTGTGGTTAGAATAGGATCAAAGTCACTCTGGTTTATTGTAAGAGGTAATTTAAAGGAGGTAGCAGAGAGCAGCAAAACTGCTACCACTCACTGTTGGTAGACGCTAGACGGTCTGTTGATGATCAATTAAGAACTGGCTTATCAACTACGATAGAGAAAGAAAGGGAAAACTAAACCATTATTTTGTTCTAGAGGATTGTAACACAATGGATAGAGGTCTATAACAATCAATTAACTAATCCTAAGGAATGAAAAAAACAAAACAATGATATAATTTCTAAATTATCTTTTGACAAGGTATTAGTTTGATTAACTAATCAAGACAGTTACATATGTACCAAACTCATTGGTGTTAATTTTTTCTAAATATATGAATTGTTCGGTTGATGATTTAAGAAACAAAAAATATTAATCATGAAAAAAAAAGTTATTTTAAATTAAACCATAGGAATTTAATTGGGTCATGTTAGGTAATATAATTTAAAATTGTAATACTTACCTATCTAATTACCAACTTAAATGTAATTTAATCATTCATTTCAGCTAAAATACACATACCTACATAAGAAGTTGTATTCTTTGGTATACTATATTATACCTACCCAATTACTTTTCTGTATCCGACACCCGTATTGATGTCTTAAATTTTCCTAGGTAATCTGTCTTACATCCAATTTATCCATGTAAAGTATATAGGTAGCATATTATAATACCCTAATTCAGTACATTGTCTTACCTACAAAGGTAATTACCCTCATAAGTACCTATATAGTATATACAATTAAAAATATATTCAAAGGAAAAATAAATCTTGGGAACCAACATAGGTACTTAAAAAGTAGAAAATACTTAATGCATCTTCTACAGTTATCCAAGCGTACAATAGGATATGTATAAATAGACCCAGAAATATACAGATTCATATATATTAAAAATAGTTAAAAAAAAAAGTCTTGACTAAATAGATTGATTAGTTAGAAGATACCTCAACATTCAATGGGTTTGGTTGAACAAATTTTGTTTATACAATGTTGTATAAGTACATATATCTACCTATAGTTTGGATCAAGTCAGAGCTCTATCTTGGACTGACGGTCAGTTTTTTGAGTGTGTGATAATATCATACATACCTATCTTTATACATTTACTAAGATGTAGTCAGCGGTAGGTACTTACCGAGTAACAGGAGTTTAAGCTCTCGCCGGGCATCCCTCTTGTCTCGCCGCAGCTGTCTTTCGATCTCCTGATTGATGCGCTTCTGTTCCTTCGCCTCTTCGGACAGGCAACACGCCATTGCAGCGGAAATAGTAGCAGCACCTTGCGGCCCGGTCCACCACGACGACGGAGGACAGTGGGCTGCTGTGGCGCGCCCGTTATTACCTGCTGTGCTGTCCACCCGCCGTTCTCACTACCTCCTCCACCACCAATGCGGCCAGCAGCAGCAGCAGCAGCAGCAGACGCCTCGTGCCACTCCACAGTGACCGCAGCGCCGTGCCTCACTAATAACGCACCACCGTGTGTTGTTGTGTCGTCCACGTCCACCGCCTCCGCCAAAATGCGTTGGCCGCCCGTCACCCTAGGACGGCGGCGATTACCGGCGGCACACCACGGTCCATGTACGCGTCTTTTGTGCTGGATACTGTCGAGAAGGCCTGGAAACTGTATACCGAGTAGCACTACCCCGACGGCGACGATCGAACGCACAAAAAACTGAACGAACACGAAACACACGCACACACACACACACAGGCAGACACTGACAGCGACCGCACACGAAAATCACACACGCACGCACACACTTACGGTGCAAAAAAACCCCGTTTAACGAAATACGATTTTTCGCGTATTCCGATTATCAATTGATATTACACACACACACACATGCACTTATATTATATGTATACTCTGTATGTATAATACGTCTGTGTATACGTGTGTATGTGTGTGTGTGTGCGTGTGCGTGTGGGTACGGCACTACGGCGATATCGCGTACTCGGCTGGGGCGGTCGTCTCGCCGGCGCGCGGCTGGGTGTGGTGACGGCGGCAGTGTGCGCGCGCTAGCTCTACCGAGTGAGCGGGAGTGAGAGTGAAGACGCGGCGGCCGTGTGGCGAATAAATATATATATATATATATATATATATATATTTGTATTATGTATATAATATTATGTACACGATCCGGCGGCCCGTGTGCAGCAGCTGATGTGTGAACGGTCGACCGGAAATTTTAATCTACACCACCGTCGTCGTATCTGTCGCGCGCGCGCGCTCGCACACATACACACGCACACTGAGTGATCGGAGACTGGACGTCAACTTACACCGGGTGTCGGTGCTGCTGTCCGACGAAACGGCGGCGTACAATCAACAGCAACAGCAACAATGTATTACTACTACTGTCTACTACTGCGGTTACTATGAGTACGACGGCAACAAAAACGTTAAAACGGCGACCGGGCGACAACTTCGACGCGAATGCCCACTACTGGCGGTGTGTTGTAGTCTCGTACTCGGACCGAGTACCCGACCGACGACGACACTCCGACCGGCGACCACACTGCGTTCCCCGTTGTTGTGCGGTTTTTTACGCGCACGCACACACAGACAGACGCACGCGCTCGTGATGGCCTGCTGCTGCTATTCGGTGTCCGCGGTCCTTTTATCCTGTTAGACTTAATTCGATTTTAAGGAAGCCAATCATTTCTGACAAGAGAGCGCACACTGGGTTTTATTATTATTAACGAGATTATACACATGCACACACGCGCACGCACGTCGTCCCCGACACACACGCACGAGATCCCCGCGAGACGGTGGTGGCGACCTCTGTCGGCTAAGCGACAAACCGCGGCCCGCGATCGAGCGGGTTGCCGAATATTAACTATTTTTTTTTTTAGGTCTCTTATGAATTTTTCTCCCCGAAATACATGCCTTAACGGTTTTCTGGCCACGTCCCGTGACGGACTACGGCGGTCCTTACTTTTTTTTCGAAATCCGAAATAACGGCGCGTAAGGATACAGGGACCGGAACACAAATCGATACACAGCAATACTAGTAGTGCCACCGTGTCGTCCCGAACTAAACGTTCCACGGTAGCATCGATTTTGCCGCTGTCCCTCCCCTCCCCGCCGCCAGCGGTCGCCACTCGCCGGCAATATCACGGCGCGGCGGTTGCCGGTGCCAGCGACCGCGGCTGCCGGGCGCTACTGACAAGACGACCGCGGTCGTGGAAGAGGGAATGTTTGATCGTTCGTTATGGTTACACTGTAACGTCGCGGCGGCGCTTCGCGCGCTCAACAAACGGGATGCGTCTTGCGAATTGTTTGGCGGTTTCATCAGCTTTTGACATGGACAATAAAAACATGCACCCTATGGATGGAACACGTTAATATTAGTATTTATGGGATATAACGTACACAGATATTTTCCCGTGCTATATCTCACTGACGGTATGTGAGTACTATAGTAATTATAATCGTGTAATATTTTCATGCTATTTCACTCCCTCTAATTTTTAATAGTTTAAGAGTACAGTTCGTTGTATATACAGTTAAAACAAGTCTTTGGCCACCATACTACCATAGGTGGACAACGAATAGGATCGTTGATTGTTATATACGCAATCTAGTCTGTGCTGTGGATACTTGGCTATTCAGACAACATGTCGAATAATAAAAAGGTAACCCGGTCAAGGCGGCGGGAAATTTAAAAACTTTTGTCGGTTTTCGTTTTCAAAAAAAAAAGTAATAATAATCATACAAGTCATACAAGCCCTTCACTATATTGCTCTACACCATGACTAGGGTTCAGAAAAAAAAAAATTATATTATATATATCACTGAAGCCATACACCTATAGGTTATAATAATACATACTTGTGTTTTCAAAATCTTATTTACGCGTTATGTCCAATTGGAAACTTTGTTCGACGTGCAATAAATAATAATGCAACTTCATTTTCATAACAAACGACTGTTGTAAGTATGTATAATATGTAGGTATGTACCTAGGTACACGTAAGCTGAGTTGAATAATGCCGTCTTTTTGTTTGTTTCAAAAAAAAAAAAAAACTATTCAAAGATATTTATTTAAGAAAACAATTCAAACAAGTTAACATAATATTATAGCGCATTTCGACGGTAAAGAAAAACAACACATAGAATTACAACTGAAAAAAAAAAACAAAATCACTTATTTTAACGTCTCAATGAAATATAATAATAATATGGGTATTATCTAAACCAATAATAATACTTGTACACAATATTATAATATACTACTATACCTACTGTGCAAATAACGAAAATAAATAAATATTATGGTATTAATATGGGTGCCTATACTATTTAAATATTTATTAAAGAAAATATTGACTATCTATTTAAAACCAACTAGCTATATATTATTTTGTTAAAATCCAATACACGTCAGTATATCAACATCTCCGTGTTGTAAATAAAATTGAAGTACTTGCAGGCTACAATACCTACAATGTAACGTTCCTAAGAATTTCAATGGATAGGAATATAGTAAATAATCATCATGTTTCATGAATAAATCTTAGTATTTTTTCTTCTGTTATACCTTCCCGACAATTATCGGCTATCACGTTAATTTGGAGTCGTTAGTGCGCATCAGCCCATGTCTTATTTAGTTGAACTTGCCTATAAATACACGTTTATTACTTTAGTGCATTAGAAAAAGTATATTCGATTTAACAAATATACCACACTATCGGTACGTCACTTATTCTATCTGACTGTGGAGTTTTTTTTAAGGTAGAAGAAGTAGTCATGCTGTGGATACTTAGAAAAAATATCCCGATTTAAGTACATTAATTTATTAAGTTATGATTTTAATTTATGGGGAAGTGCAATACATCCAACTATTTACCTACTTATAAGAGGACGTTAAGGGGCCTGGTGCTAATGTTTTGTCCACAAAAATACACTACGTAAATAGTGATACTGTTCAGTAGAATCAATCAAATTAAATTTTTTTTTTTTAATTAATAAAGGAAAAAATTCTACGGAATGAACTCCGAAATTTTATTCTCAACATTTATAACGAGTCTTTAAAAAAAATAAATTTTAAGCTTTATTTTGCCATTTTTTTGTTTTACATTATTTGAAATCGGAATTAAAGAATCTGAGTTCAATGCGACCTGTACAATGTAGTTGTTTATCAATAAAACATTTTTTTCATGAAAATATTGAATTTATAATGAGTATCACTATTTCCGTAAAGTTATTTTCGTCAGTAAAAACGGCTTCACCCTTTCCTCCAAATGGATATCGGATGGTAAATCAGTTGAAAAATCTTATTTTTAAAGTGGTTATTGAAGTGTCAAAAATAATTTTTAAATTTTTCCAAAATTTGAAAAACTGGCACTGGGCCACTTGAACTTGTATTTGTCGTCTTGCTCTCTGTCATATTTAACAAAAAATATGGAAAATAATTGAATTGTTGTTCAAATACTGATAGTGCATAATTAAACCTCGCTAGTTGCATAAACTTGATTTCAATGCTAAAATAATTACCATTTGAAGTCATACGAAATAGTGGCGGGATTTGGTTTTATTTTTATAGGGGTGGGTGTATTAACACAATTTAGACAATTAAATCGATCTGAGTCATATTAAGCCCATTAATATTATAGTAGTCATGTGCCTCTGGGGATGGTGGGAATTCCTTAACGCCCCTCTCCATAAATCCGTCGCTGATATTAACTTTCTATAGAACATTTTTTTTTTGCCAAATCGATTATAACAGCATTTTAAAATATTTTTAAAAAGTCATTTGAAATTAATAGCCGATAAACATTTTTAAAAAAAACTGGAGTAACGCGAACTAGTGAGTAGTAAGTATAAATATGCAAATATATTTTTGCTCTGTCGCTCGTTAATCGTTATAGAAAGAAACGACGAGTTTACATTTGACGTCCTCTTAAATTTCGAATCTTGAATTTCGAATGTATTGTTTACCTCCCTCTATGAGTAAACGCGGATACTATACATTATACGATTCCAGGCCAATCGAATGGTTTAAATTTCCAGTAGCTTTATTTTAACTTTCAATAAGACTGTATAAATCGATATTATGGCACGTGGACATGTATAAGATATGTATATATACTTACATAATTTATGTATAACACTTAAGACATGTGAATCTACTATCCGTGTTCACGTGTAACGTATTTTAGTGTTATTCACGCGAATACATAGGTAGTAGAAATACGTGAATATTAATGTGAAATAAGTGAATATCCGTGTACACAGTTTTTTTTAAGTACACGGTTTTATAGATTTTAATCTTAATTTCACGTAAATACGTTAAAGCGTGTACACGTGAAATAAAGATAATAAACGTATCGTATGGTAGCATTTAATCAAGGCAAATAGGAGTAAACCGCACGCCGGTAAATAGCTCAGTGTGACGCGACCCTAATAAATAATTATGATAATAGATATTACCTGCACTAGATATTGGTAATTTTTACCACACAAACATCCATGATATTTAGCATTATCTGATTTCCTAATTTATTTCTTCAGTTAAGTTAATATAGTTAACTTAATAATATAAGTTCAATAAAGTTAGTTAGACCCCTCCCTCTATAATAAAAACTAATATTGTATTATAATTATATTAAATTTATCATTATACATAATAAAATATTTAAATTATAGTATAAACTAACTTCTTCATTTTTCTAATTGTAATTGTGTATTAATTTTTAATTTATAATGTAAATAAAAGGTTTAATTATTTTTGACCGATGTGACACTCCATCTAAGAGTTCGCGACCCCCATGTTAAAAAACACTGTTCTAGATCATTAAATTTAGTTTTCTATTAGCGTCTCTGTTGTTGTGGTGGATCTCTATGGACTAACAATATTCCATTGCCAACGAAAAGTGATTCTGAATGAAGTTCGCTTATACATGATTTGAATCATAAAAAAATTTAAATTTAAATTTAAAAAAAAAAAAAATATTGAATTTTTGGTAGAATTCTTTTTCTTGGCGTGACATGGATATTTTTACTTTGCTAAAATAATATTTAGAATCGGTTGATAGAAATATTAAAGAGTTTGATGAAACAGTGCAACATTTAAATGAAATAAGGTCTTTATTAAAAACATATTTTTAGCCAGTGAAGATATAAAATATATGCAAAAAAAATTATTGGGTTGAAAAATACATTTTAAATCAAAAACAAAACAGAAGAAATTTCTATAACAATGTACGAATAATTTATTGAAATGATCACCGATTCATCTTTAGAAACTTTGTTTGATGAAATGTCTCTAATATATTTTTGGCGCAGTAGCAATATTCAAAATGAATATCAATATTTGGGCTTAATTAAAAGGCTGTACGAATACTTCCAAGTAGTTGGAAACCTTTTCCAATAGATATCTTTGTGAAAGACGATTTTCATCAAATACACCAACAAAGACAAAATACCGCAACAAATTAAAGGTCGAAGCAGATTTATTTATTCAACTATCTTCAATAAAATATTGAAGCAATTTTAAATGAATAAAAACAATATTTTTCTCCACATAAAACTGAATTATTTATTAAATAATTACTTAAATTAATTTAAATGGTATTTCTATTAAATCAAATTAAATATACCATGTGTAATAAAATATGTTTAAATAATGTATAACAATAATAATAACAGGCATTAAAAGAATAATAAAGAAATATTTCAAAAAGCAAATGTATACATCATTTTTTATGAGTTTTGG